TATACTTAGTCAATAACCGCACTCTTTGATGATTAATATCGCTCTTGTACTTAGACTCCACATCAACAAATAAACTAAGCAAAACCATTTCCAGAAACATCTACACGGAAATTCGAACTAAAACATTACATGCATATTCAGCCATTCCGTTCATTAAACTCGGACAGACGATCCTTTAAAGTGGATTATATAGGTACATTTGTAGTTTTGAATAAAGAAACACTTACTAGAAGTGGGATCGGAAACAACGCTTTGGGTATAAGCCCAGCTTTGGTCGGATAAGTACCTACGAACTAAGTCGTAATTTCATTTGATCCCGCCCTGTCGATACTTTGCGCTCTGGGAGTTGACTAATACCTGTTAATTGGAAACCAGTCTCTGAGGAGATCTGTCTTATCATCTCATAATGGGCTCTAATTCATATACATAGATATACAGGGTGGAATTTTGTAATGCCACCTGGAGGGAAAGTACCCTTAGTACTGTAGATAGAAAATTTTACTCAAAGAAAACATTCCTTTATTTTTGAAAAGAAAGAGAACTGCATTCAAAGATTTTCGAAAATTTACCACCAATATACCATGCTATTTTCAGTAAATAATTACAATAATTTAAGATTTCATGGTTTTCCTTTCATATGATTTATAAAGTTTATTTGAGAGATTTCATCCTTATACTTAACCCTAACGATCGATGCAATAAAAATACAGGGTGTAATTTTTAACTTAATTTAGTTGGTTCGTTTCCGGATGTAGCAAGCAAATTTTTGGAAATCTTTAAATGCAGTTCTATTTCTTTTCAAAAATAAAGGTATGTTTTCTTTGAGTAAAATTTTCTATCTACAGTATTAAGAGTACTTTCCCTTCAGGTGGCATTACAAAATTCCACCCTGTATACATAGCTTTATAGCTATTATGGTCTCATTATTATGGTCTCAGTTATTATTACAGGCGTTTATGTGACCAAACTAAATCATTGATCATTCATGTTTTGAATGTAAACATATTCTGATCTCGAAAGCCCTCCAAAAATTGCAATACCTCAATTAGGTTACTAAGTTTTAAGCACTGTATTATACCTACTTATGACCTATAAGTACCTACCTTTAGTGTGCAAGTAAGTAGGTAAATATAATATGAATATGAATATTGTTTAGCATAATATGCAATAAGACGAAGTGCTTTATACCAATATTTTGTTTTATTTTACTGAAAATTACACATTTTCAACCGACTTCAAAAAAGGAGGAGGTTCTCAATTCGACCCGTATGTTTTTTTTTTCTATGTTTGTTACGCGATAACTCCGCCAATTATGAACCGATTTGAACAAATCTTTTTTCGGCGTATAGGTAATACCTCAAGGGTGGTCCCATTTAAATTTAATAATAGAAAAAACAACCCCCAAGGGTGGAAAATTGGGGATGAACTTTTTTATACGCAATATCTCCGCCGATTATAAATCAATTTGAACGATTATTTTTTTGTTGAATAGGTATTATCAAAAGGGTGGTTTCATGCGAATTTGAAGAAAATATTTCACCCCCAAGGGTGGAAAATTGGGGATGAACTTTTTTATACGCAATATTTTTAATTTTTAGTTTTTTTTTGTGTTCACGCATTTGAAGTCGGTTTTATTTTTTTTTAAAAAGGTAATTATTGTAGAGGTCATGGCAAAAAGGTAATTGTGTAGCGCTGAAATAAACTAACGTAGCATTTATATAGATGGAGTGGGTTGATACGAATCTATGAAATAAAAGTAACTTATTTTTAATAAATGATTGTATTTCATAAATAAAAAAACACTCGGTTGATATCTTTCCTCTTCGTTTCCATGGAAATTCTGAAAATATTAAAAAATAATGAGTCAGGTCGCAAAGTAAAAACTTTAATATTAATTCAATTAGTAACAAGCGATCATTCCAATTTATTAGTAAAATGGTCCCTAATAATAAGTAACAATTAGTGGCTATAAGTTCATTTGATGTTAGGTGTAAAACTAAAGAAATAAAATGTTAATTGTTAGTGGAAAATCCTTTTACTATTAGTTAATCACAAGTGAAGTTATTATTCTGTTAAGGCGTTTAAATTTTAGTTTAGTTGTGGTTGTGATAGACAGACTGTGTAAAAGTATGTCAATATTTAGGTTAAAAAATAGAGCTAATTTATTATGATAGTTTTGACACTGTCATAGGAGTTATTCAGTGAAAGCTGAAAGCTAATAATTGTTATTCATTATACTGTGGTTTTATTATACAAAAATAACTTTCGAAATGGGTTTTAACGTAAAAAAATGTTTTCGTCATGGATCCATTATTTTCTTAATTTTATAAATCAAATGGCTATTTCTGCGTTCATTATTGTTTTTTTTAACATGCAAAACATTCAAAGTAACTGTCATTTGTTAGATCTTAACAAATAAGTTTTGAATACAGTCATGATAATTTATGAAGTCAAGGTGCATTAGCATGCATTTTGCGGTGCCAGTAATAATTTACGTGAGAGGTGGATTTGTGCATACAGTTTGTAACAAGATCAAAATTATGTGTTGTGATACCAAATAAGTTGCTGTGCGAATAACATTTTAATCTATTTCTTAAATAAAATAGTGCATGCATGTCCTAATAAAATGTTGTTTAATAAACTTTTGAAATCTTAGCATGTTATTATTGTTAAGACATTAGCAAAATTTTGAAATCACCTTATGAACTTTCAGGAGCGTTTACAAAGTATCCACTGAATATAGGAATCCTTCTTTCGTACATGACATAGAAAGCGAATGGATGTTTCGCGTCAAAGACGTATACTTTTGGAATAGGCCCTCCAACCGAGGTGGTCGTAGCTCCCACAAAGACTGAAAAGGTGGAAATGTAGGTAAGAACTATTAACGTGTCCAAAAAAAAAATTAAGTGGTGTGGTAGCTTGCCTCCCCAACCCGTCTGGCCAGCGTGGGGAGTGTAGGCCAAGTCCTCCATTTGCCTCTGGTAAATAAGAGAGGGTCGTACTCCTGCAGTGGAGACAAATGACCTGATGAGGGTTGGCATGTCTTCTGCTTTGGGCTAAATTTTATAATTTACGGTTTTGTTATTGAAAATTGTTGTGAAAACCGCCATGCCATATTTTTACTAAGGTGTAGCTAGTTAGAAACTTGGCTCTACGTGAGATCTGATACTTTTTCGCAGTGCGAGCCGCACGATTTTTGGTGGGTTTCTTTTTAAAAGAAAAGTTTTGTAAACGAGTTATCAATTTTCTTTTTCATACACATACATTATTCACTGTCAATCAACATTCAATAATAATAATTAATTAACACATGATGGACAGTAACGTCCACGGGCGTTCAGGTGGTAAAGGATGATACAACAGAACGCATTAGACGTCATAGTTTTTACTCGTTTTCATAGACACTACTCCCAAGCAATGTATGTGAATAAGTAGTGTCGTATTGGGGAAGTAATTCTTAACTTGTACTTGTACTTACTGTCCACCATAGTGTTAAAGTTAAACATATTCAACAAACACCACAATAATTATACATAGATGTCGAAGATGCGGTTGATTCACCTTAAGGAACATTAATAAATGTCCCACTAAATATTAGGAGCTTCCCATACATGATGTAATAAGCAAAGGGATGATTAGCATCAAATGTCTGAGGCGAACTAGGAAGGCCGGATCCAGGTGCAACAAGTACTGAAAGTTTGACAAAACATACTTACGGCCGTATTCACAAACATTACTATGAGGTCTCACAGTGCGCGTGGACGCACATGGTCACACACGAACCAATCACAAAGCTTTATTCAACGCTGTGCGTTCGATTTTCTGCTTCACTTAAGCAAGCATCGTTTGTGAATACGGGTGTTAATTACTTAGATATATCTCATACTATACATTTTATATCTATCTATCAATATAAGCCCACAATGTAATCGTTTGCTGTCCCAAATAAAGAGAGACAAAAAAACTACTTTGTAAGATGCTACAGTATTGTCCGTACACTTGACATTAGGGACTACATAACGTAAAATGAAACGATTTTGACAAAAAATTGTTCAAAATGGTGCAAGAATTTTCCTTACAATAGCTTCTCCATCCTTTATGACTCTATGATTGTAGAATAAAACCACAATATTAATTAATAGTGAAAATCAAAGGTGATGATCGTATTTGTTTTTAATTTCATGAATCACCTCATTTGTTCGTTTCGCCGTAAAATGTCCCACTGAATATTGGATAATGTTTATACATAACATAGAACCCAAAAGGCCGATTCGCATTAAAGGTGTATGTTTTGGGAGGTCTCACAGCTGTGGGTATAGCATGAGGCACAAATACTGAAAAAATCACGTAAGTAAATAATACACTTGGAAATAACAAATCCTGTAAGAACATTATTATGTAAACAGTTTGTTATAAATAACTAGGTAAATACACTCCGTCGCTTCAGGTAACTAACTATAGTTACATCACAGAAATGCGTCGACGTAACTTCATGTAACAAAATTATGAATCTTTCGTGCATAAAACTGCTTAGGTAAAAAAAGCACTTTGGTATCAGACTATCACACTAGTTTATAAAGGCGAAAGTTTGTGAGTGGTGTGAACTGGTGTGTGTGTATGTTTGTTACTTCTTCATGTCTAAAAGACTGGAATGATTTTAATAAAATTTGGTATGGAGTTAGCTGACACCCTGGATTAACTAGGCTACGTTTTATCGCGGGTAACACCGCGGGGCACAGCTAGTCAATAAATAATCATGGGTTGACTGTAAACACATTTGACACTTGTGCAGAATTTAACCAATGATACAAATATATTTTGCTATAATAATAGGAAGGTATAATGAAACCACAGTATAAATGAAGGCCAAATGAGGTTGATAGAGTAAAATATTAAAAATTTTGGTAAAACAAAACATAAATTATCTTAACGATGTAATACTTTAGTTAGGTGACTTTTTTTGGGAATTTCATATAACCTTAGTATGTCGAATCGCCATAGAATGTCCCACTGAATATTGGGATTCGCTTGTCATATAGAATGTAGAAGGCAAATGGTTGATTAGCATCAAATTTGTATATTTTCGGTGGTCTCAAGACTGCTGTAGCGCGTATACCAAATACTGAAAAATATTTGAGTGTTAAAAAGTTATTCGGTATATCGATTGAATGTGATAAAAATAGAGTTTTATCGTTTACCTTGGTAAAAATATTCATTTTACGAAAGATTTGTAAAATCCCATTATGATTTTAGTGATCCCACTGACACCCATTTGTGTTGTTGAAAGTTGTTTTATTTTTTTGAAGACTGTTTTGAATGTTAATTAGAAATGCTACCAATTCTTTCAAGCATTATGGTCTGACTGATGACAGAAAAGTAAGGACATTCACAATGAAAATAAATGAGTTTTAAGACATAAATGGCGAGCTTTTATTTCAATTTCTAACTAAAATGGTATTAATTACAGTTATGTGGTTAAAGGCAGAACAACCCACAAATATGACAGATAATTTTATTATGGACGGCACAAAAACGAAATGCTACGTAAACCCAATACTTTAAAATAAATTGCAATTCATTGGAAAATAAAATAATTCGTAACTCTGCTAGATGTGCGAATATAACACTTATGAATTATTATTGATGATTTGATTTGACTTAAATTGAAAGTAACCGGTACTGTGTTGTTTCCAATGAATGCATACTACGTGTCTAATTGCGTGGGTTTCAAAATCACCTCATGGGGCTGAATCGCCATAGAATATTCCACTGAATATTGGGATACGCTGTTCATATAAGACGTAGAATGCGAACGGCTGTTTAGCGTCGAAGGAGTATACTTTCGGTGGTTCCATAACTGATGTTACGCCCACAACAAATACTGAAATAAATTGAATGATGAAGTTATCCTGTAAAACTACTAGTAAGTATGTAAATGGACTCTTATCTAAGCCTCGATTGAGACTAAAGCAACAAAAACGATTATTACTCTGTATGTATACTCTTGCTTGCTTGTATACCTTTCTGTCAAATAAAAAGTATTCTATTCTATTATATCGATAATATTTTAGATTGACAAAGAAGAATGATTCTTTGGATACAACCGTCTTAAAATAGAGGTCACGTAGCCAAAATTTCTGACAACAAGTCAGTATCTATAGACTGAAATTTATTTATTTATTTATTTATTTATTGATAAAGGTACACCATCAGCAATACACATTTAAGACATTCACAGTATACAACACATATTGGGGTTTTAGTTTAAATATGTTGGAAAAACACATTTCAAGACGCACAGGACTCAAATTCTGAATATAGGCCTCCCCAACAGTTCCCCGATTGGCCAGTTAGACTCGGCCTGCATTCAGCGGCTTCTTGCTACCTTTGTAAGATCATTTGTCCACCTTGTGGGTTGTCGCAGCGTGGGAACGCGGTCCGAATGTACTGTCCGGACGTCCACTGCTGAACATAGGCCTTCCCCAATGATTTCCATAATGACCGGTTGGTATTGCCTTCCTGCTACCTTTATAAGGTCGTCAATCCACCTTGTAGGTGCACTTTCCGATACCTGGCCTCCACTCCCGAACCTTGCTGCCCCATTGGCCGTCAGTTCTGTGTATTAAGTGCCCTGCCCATTGCCACTTCAGCTTGCTAATCCGTCGGAGTATGTTATGCACAGAACAAGGCAGGTATTTTGACCGCAATCGTACCTGATGTTAAACGAGATGCTGTCTAGGATGGTACAATACATGTCTGCCCTCTAAGAGCTTATTCACTCTCGCCGAATTATAGTGTTCAGGAAAGACAGCAATAGGCAACGAAATCCAGTCCCTAGCTGTTCGCATTATAAAAGAGTTATCGAAACGCTTAGTGCGAGCTGGTGGAATGTCGACAATGTACGGATGTCTGGCACGGGCATGAATTATTTACAATCAAAAAGACAAACTGTAACTTACTGTTAGCTGCAGCAGCTTCTGTTCCAGTTTCATCCACAAGACAAAACGCTTTTTGTTTGGCCGCCGAAACGAATAAAGGATCATCTACTTTCAAAATACCAGTCAGGTTTGATTTGCTGGCATCAAAAAGATCTGTTACACCTGCCTGTAAACATAATTTAAGTGAGACACGCGAATTAAAATTAAAATTATTTAATTAATTTCGTTCGTTCGTTTGTTTCAGCCAAATGACGTCGACAGCTGGATAAAGGTCAAGGATATCCAATTATCCATACTCGTAACGATCGGTCATGCGCTGCCCGCATCTAGGCTCTTCCCGCGACCTTCACCAGATCGTCGGTCTACCTTGTAGGGGGCTTGCCCAGGCTACGTCTTCCGACCCATGGTCGCCACTCGATAACTTTTCTGCCCCAACGGCCCCTAAATTGATTTACAAAGTTGTTACTTACCGATTTCAATATGTCAGCTAGATCAAATTCGGATTCGGTTTTGATTTTTGGCAAATGTACTTGGACCTTAGCATAAAACATTGCTTGGTACGAATCAGAAAATACACCGGGTTGTTTAAGCTTTTCAATCAGAGCCGGTAAGCCTTCTACATCGTTTGGTAGATATATCAAAAATGAGAAGTTGCCACCCTTGTAGTCCATTTGTAACATCTAAAACAAAAGACGTTAATAAAATCTATGTAAATAAAACAAAGTCAGGTTAGTTTCACTATTTTTAACTCAAGAACGTCTGGACAGATCTTGATGAAATCTGACATGGAGGTAGGTGGTTACTCTAGTTCAACATAAAACCTAATTTTTCCCGACTACCTAAAAAAAGGGTAATGTTTTTAGTGCATCTAATAAACTGTGGGTATAAAATAACTTGACTTAAATAAGGTCTTCTGCCCCCTAGATGGGGCAGAGAGCGTCCACAACATTTTCTCCGTCGCGTTCGGCCTTGAGCTTCGCGTTTGATCTCGCTGGAGCGAGAGAGGTCTTGCCGATTTCCTTCGCTCGCGTCTGCTACAGTGTGCCGCCAAAAATGGAAAAAGAAAAATAATGGCGGTATGAACTTCGCCGGAACTTACTTTACAATCCAGAGTATCATTTTCTCCATAACTAAAGGACGACTCTTGGTACATAGTTGGGATTTTGACAGTTTTCTGGTTGTTCACATGGAAGTCACGGTCTTTGGTGTTGTTTGGGTTAAATTGGTCGACCCAGTTACCCTGTAATCATAAATATTAGTAAAGTATAAGTATAATGTTTAAAAATAAGTAGTGAATATGTTTAAACCTTTTTATATTTACCAAGAAGTATATGGCGTTAGCTATAACTAAACGAGTATCTCCGTTGAACATGCTCGGTGTGGCGATGTCTTTGATACGATCATTAGTTTCATTTGCCACCTGAAATAAATGACAAGTATAAAAATGTACACCTAGTCCTGTTGAAAATATAATTCAGTTAATCCGCTAGTGTCCATAAATATTGCTGATATCACCTCATATTCATAATTCTTATAATAATAATTATGAGAAACGAAAATAATAAAAACAAATTGTATAGACGTCGCTTAAAATGTATGTAGAAATAGCGACGATAGCCGAACGGTGAAGGTGTCGGACCGGCCGACTCGTGATCCGAGGAACGCAGGTTCGATCCCCGCCACCGCTCAACTATTATAGTAAATCTAAGGCTGAGTTGCACCATCTTACTTTAACTTGGAAAAACGTCAAAAATCTGACAAACTTTATGCAAAAAGCACCGGTTATTATTAATGTTACGGTTAATATAAGATGGTGTAACCCAGCCTTATTCGTATTCTCCGCGAGTTTACATCGAAAACAAAACACGCACGATGGCCCACCTACAGGATACTATTCGACAAGGCCTCACATACGAGCGAACATTGACTCACGCACGCGTATTCTTGTGTATGATGGAAGAAAATAAAGAAAATGGTGTACTAAATACTGTGCAGTATTTGACTGCCTAAATAATAATAAAAACACAGACTGTACTTTTTTAAGTTGCCTCAAGACACTGAGAGGTAAATAAGTAGTTAATATTATTCATGATAATTCATGCTAAATCATGTATTTCTTCCGCCATTTTCCGCAGTTTGGCACCTCACGTCACATCATTTTACCGAAGTCAGCCCTATAGCTTCGGCGCAGTGCCGATCACTGACGTTTGTCAACAAAATGGTGCTTGACTCTTGAGACAGGCTTAATTACACCATATTGTTAATGACATTGAGCATACATTTTTTTAAATACCTTCGCGAAGTAAAACTTCTGTACGTAGTACTTATTGTTATTCTATGGTATTACGAGCATATAATAATATTTAGCTTATCGCGAGGGGTTAAGGAGATTATATTCTTAAAAAAAAATTGCATGTACTCCATACTAACAAGGTATGAGATTCTACGTTATAATGACCATTTCAAAATAAAAATACAAGTTCACTGTACCCATGCATTGATCCGATCTGCCGCAGCTTGCGGTTGGTTAAAATTGAGGGGTTCAACACCAGCGCCGAATATTTCGCGCGTCTCCTCCACAAAACCATCGGAAAGTGGATATACGTCGGATGGAAAGGTCCTGCTTGCCATATTCAAAATGACGTTCTGTTCTGCTTGGAGTCTTTTCGTCAGTCGGGGGAAAACGCATCTTACCTAGAAAATATAATCAGTATTATAGCATTTCTACTACCTCACTCTTCTCGTGGATGCCTTAAAAGGTGTCTAAGAAACTAATATGCGAACATCGGGCCTTCTCGAGCTGTCTGGATTTACTTCACCAGGTTTGGTTGCAACTTTGTTCATCCATTACCTCAAGCTATAACAGCTAAACAGTTAATTTAATTTTGGTCTACATTAAGCAACTATCAACATTGTAGTGTTGGAAGATAGAAAGTACAGCCACTATACCGGATGAACGGGACTATTTCCACCTCTCGTTCCCACCACTGCAACTCCTGTGTAGCCAGGATCTACACTACAGCTTGACCGCCATCAAAACCCAACTAATGAAGGTCAAGTTTGTCCCGGGGGAAAGTTATACTGTCATTGGACCCGGATGAAGCTCGCTTCTTCCTTCATTCAGCCTGATCATCAGTCCATCAGATGAGATGCAGGTCACGAGGAAGGACCTAATAATTTTGAGAGAGAAGACGGTACTAAAGATTGTTACTTACATCATCATCACTTCGAAGATTGAGGATTTTCTTTAACTGGTTGCGTGTATTACCACCGCTGTACATCATGAACTCTCCTAATGGAACGAATACAGAGAATGCTGACATAATACAGCTTTGGTTGGGGTATGTCTGCATGGATTCCTGTAAACAGTGTGAGTGGAAGTTAGTCAATTAGTTATTGTATAAACAACCTTGAAAAGTGCAGTCACGAAGTTGTAAAATTATAGTGATTAAACTGTCCATGTGCATTTAATGTTGCAACTGAATAATACTATAATTATTTATACAATTATTTTGAAAAGCAGTAAAATTGGTTGCGTTAAATGATAAATTATGACAGAAGTCACTGTTTTGTTTTTGTTAAAATTGTGGTTCGTCATTTGTTTCAAGTTTTATTAAGCTAGGTACTTTTTTTTTGTTTAGCCACTACTGCGATAGAATAGGCTGTGTAAATTTTAGACGAGTTTGTTTAAAATATTATAATTATTAATTTAAGTAGAAATTGATCATCAAATCAAATCAAATCAAATCAAATCTGATCAAATTGCAATCAGGCATAAATGACAGAATAATACATACATGCATGAATATTCCAGTAAATGCATTATTTCCATCAGAAAGCAGTTGTTCGACGGAATCATCACACGTGTAGGTGCCTGGCTCTGGCGCTGAAATGTAATAAAAATAATATAGTAATGGAATGCATTGGATACTATGCTTAAATTGTGGCATTTCGATTTATTTTGTAATGACACTTATTTTAAGCTTATAGATGTTCAAATATTTTATTCAGTACATAGGCCCTTTGCAGGGCACTTAGGGCTATATTTCACCGGGACACCATGGCGGCGCAACCAGTCGCCGCTACCAACAAAATGTATGCAGCTTTGCGTAACCAAACGGACACCAGGTGAGTAACTCTCTATAGAGCGGTATACATTTTGTTGGTAGCCGGCGACTGGTTGCGCCGCCATGATGTCCCTGTGAAATATAGCCCTTATACACGTCCCAAATATACACAGCTTGCCCTACCACCACTTCGGGACAACATAATGGGCTGGTGCTGAGAAGAAGTGGCGGAAGAAACTCAGACACCTTTGTAATAAAGCCGATTTTGCAACAAACAACTTATCTATATATATAAAAGAAAGTCGTGTTAGTTACTCCACTTATAACTCAAGAACGGCTGAACCGATTTAGCTGAAAATTGTCAGGGAGGTAGTTTAGAGCCAGGAGAAGGACATAGGATACTTTTTATCCCGTTCGAAATAAAAAAAAGTCTGCTTATTTATTGCCATTAAGGCGGAACAAAGTTCGCCGGGTCAGCTAGTATCTATATAAAAGAAAGTCGTGTTAGTTACTCCACTTATAACTCAAGAACGGCTGAACCGATTTAGCTGAAAATTGTCAGGGAGGTAGTTTAGAGCCAGGAGAAGGACATAGGATACTTTTTATCCCGTTCGAAATTAAAAAAAAAAGTCTGCTTATTTATTGCCATTAAGGCGGAACAAAGTTCGCCGGGTCAGCTAGTATCAAATAAGTGCAATTTTGGCTATCATACGAGACAATTTGAACACGCTAAGTTCTGCACAATGTCTTGATATCAACGTACCTAATAAAATTAAATGTAAGTTCCACTTCTCGAAAAGAATCCGTTGCATCAGCAGATAGAAACAGTCATAGATTTTTCTATGACGTACTAAGCTCAGGGCCTAGGTTATTACCTTATTCTAATGAAAAATATTGCTTCATTAAAAAAACAATCGCGCTTCATAGCCCCGCGGAAAACGTTACGGGGAATACCAAAACACCTACATTGTGTGAGTGTACCTACTATGAAAAACGTATAATAATAAAGTGTGAATACAATGTGATAAGAAAAATACTATAATTTAATTCGATCGTGAAATTGCAGACAACATTAACGTGCCCGATATGCAATAGAGTTGTTTATCTGAAACATGTTTCTTTGTGGAACAATACAGAGAAAATGACATTTCAAGAAGTTGAATAACAGGAAAAGGCGATGAACGTGACGAACAAACGAGTAAGTTGCTTAAATTGCAATAATAACATTTTAAGAAAAAATAATAATAATACCTTTCGAACTGTTATGTAAAGGGAGTACTTTAAAGGGACAGTCAAAAAGCCATTTTGATGAAAATTAGTAGGTAATTTGTTTGTACATTAGAAATTGACCCATTAACCCCTCGTGGTAAGCTAAATAGGCTTGTGCTACGAATGGGCTCACCACAATAGTTCAGCGAGTGGTGGGAATCAAACCCGCGTTTTTCGAATCTCGATTCAGCCAGTTCGATACTGACACCATTGGGCACTGCCCAATGGGCAGTGGGCTATTGTCGCTTCAGTTAAAGTTCAGTTTAATTTGAAATAATAATATTTTTCTGGCCTGATCGAAGAAGAACTTGGATTCTTGTTATATAAAAAAACTATAATATTTTAATTCCTTTCAGTTAAAGTTTGTGGACTACACTGTTATGCACCACATCACGACGATCCTCAATAATTACAGTCTAATAAAATAAAAAAACTCAATTTTAACAATTTTAAGGATCTCAACTACCGATTTTATGAAACAGCAATGGCAAAAACTTACAATCTTCTACGCCTTGTGCACAGGATCGTAATACACCAGCGCATGCTAAAAAGACTAGAAATTTAAATTGAACAGCCATCTTTAGACACAAATAAAACTACGTGTGTTTTCCTTTACGCGACTAGTGATGAATTAAACAGAATCAGTGAATTTATCCGGTCTATTTATATGGGTATATGACTAGTTGAGACAGCAACTGTTTCAACAAACGTCAAAAATTTAAAACCTGAAGGCACATCTTGATTTAGTGTCAAGCGACTTAAATTAGGAGCGACAGAATCAGTAATTTAATCGATTTACGCAAAGAAAACATTTTTGTTTCATCTTTAATTATTTTTATCAGCGGATAAAATTGGCAAAATTGGCACACGTGAATAATTTACTTCGTTCATTGAAAAATACGTACACAGTAACTGCAAATCATAATAGACATAATGGTGTGCGTATAAGCCTTAACCTTTGAAATTTAAGATATGGGCACTCGCGAATTAGATTTTCAATATATTTTTTTGCGAAAAATACCACGACTAAAATTATTAAAATAAAGTAGTATTGTTAAATTGTTCTATAGAAAATTATTATCAAAAGAATTCGGATACTCATCATTACAAAATCAAGCTGTATATTATGTATAGTAATTGTATACCTTTTACTTACACCTGCTAACAGTATACAAACAGATTTTTATTTTTATAGTTACAATTTTGTTCAGCATCATGTGCGTAAGCAGTCGAAGAACAAGTGGTCGGAAGCATTAGCAATTTTACGCTAATTAATTTAGTTGTAAAACAATTGAGCAAACAGTTATTAAACATAATTACTACTGTATTCTTATTATTTCGATTGATTTATTAATAATTTTATTTTTAATCCGCAGTGAAACGAAATGTCAGTAGATATGAAATAAAATCTTAAGATAAAGCTTTGTTAATGAAATCTACATCTGTCTTAGCTGGCATTAGAAAAATTAAGAGAAGACACAGTATTATTAAATTAAATTTTCATTTGGTCTGTTGGACTCGTGGGAAAAGAAGCGCCTTTAGAAATAATGAGCTTATTAATATTATAAATGTTTTTATACAGAATCCTACTTGAATAAAGTCATATTGCGTCAGAAAATATTATGACGTCAAAATATTAGATACGGCTTGAAAACACGTAATATTTGAAAAAAAAAACAAGTTTAATTTGTATGTTTTAGTTGGAATTTATGAGAACCTGCTATCTGTTCACCAAATAGTTAGGTATAGCATCAGAATATACATTTTTGAATCATACTTAAATGTGTTTGGTGTTTAAGCTTGATGTACCATCGTTATTCCTACAGACAACATAATATCAGACAACACATTTTAGTTTTAAAATTGTCCCTACTACAACGGAATAATATGCCACAGATTTATCTTGATATGCCGCCGTTTGTACAAACTAAGGCTGAGTTGCACAATCTTACTTAACTTACGTCAAAAATTTGTCAAACTCCATACAAAAGCACCGGTTATTGTTGAAGTTACGAGTAAAACAAGTTGGTGCAACTCAGCCTAAAGGAGCCTTATTCCTAAACGCTTATCATTTTTATACTTACGACATTCTTCCCTAGTCACGCAGACGCCCTTGTCGTTCCTAACGAAACCGTCCTGACAGCGGCAGCCAGGCGGCAGGCACGGTTGTCCTGCAGCGCATAGCACAGCCCGGTCGTCGATACCGCACTGTCTCGGTGGACAGGCTAAGGGGCATGAGTCGTATATTTCGTTCGAATTCGGGCAGAGAGCAGCTGGAAGAGAGAAAAGGGTTAATAGAGCAGAGAGCAGCTAGAAGAGAGATTTTACAATTTAACAATTGGTTATTTTTTTAACTATGAATAAAAAAACTAGGCCTTAGTGTTTGACCAGACTAAAACAAAAGAGTGTCCAATCACCTTAAGTAACAGCACGCGACTAGATTAACGCCCGTATTCACAAACGTTACTATGAGGTCTCACAGTGCGCGTGGACGCACAGGATGACACACGAACCAATCACAGAGTTCTAGTCAACGCTGTGCGTTCAATTTGCTGCTTCACTTAAGCAAGCATCGTTTGTGAATACGGACGTAAGAGTTACCTACCGGGACAATCGTCCTGTGGTATGCAGGTACCATCTGGTCCACGCAAATATTTTTCCCGGCACACGCAGCCTGGTATGCATTCAAGCGGGTCTATGCAAAGGTCCGGCTCGTAGTACTGAGTGCAGTTCCATTTACCGCATCCACCGTTAGCGCATGTAGTGTACACCTCGTTCTGTTGACAAGGCGCTGGAAAATATGTAGGAAAGTTAATGAAGAAAACAAAATGATGGTATGAATTTGTTGTTTGGATGTTCTACCATACAGGGTGGAAACGATAAGTGATCTCACTCGATTATTTCTAAACTATACAAGATATCGATATGGAAGCTGGAAACATTGAATTTTCGGATAGTTCCTGTTTATTCTGTAACCTATTATTGGTACCGTTTGAAAGAGCTTGTGAAGCACTTTCAGGATCAGTTACCAGTTTTTCAAAATCTTGTATAGTTTAGAAATTATTCAGTGAGATCACTTATCGTTTCCACTCTGTATACTAAAGAAGAGATTCAGAAACGATTATCATTTTTATACTTACGACATTCTTCCCTAGTCACGCAGACGCCCTTGTCGTTCCTGACAAAACCGTCCTTGCAGCGGCAGCCAGGCGGCAAGCACGGTTGTCCTGCAGCGCACAGTACAGCCCGGTCGTCAATACCACACTGTCTCGGTGGACAGGCCAAGGGGCATGAGTCGTATATCTCGTTCGGATTCGGGCAGAGAGCAGCTGGAAGAGAGAAAAGGGTTAATAGAGCAGAGAGCAGCTAGAAGAGAGATTTTACAATTTAACAATTAGTTATTTTAACTATGAATAAAAAAACTAGGCCTTAGTGTTTGACCAGACTAAAACAAAAGAGTGTCCAATCACCTTAAGTAACAGCACGCGACTAGATTAACGCCCGTATTCAAAAACGTTACTATGAGGTCTCACAGTGCGCGTGGACGCACAGGATGACACACGAACCAATCACAGAGTTCTAGTCAACGCTGTGCGTTCAATTTGCTGCTTCACTTAAGCAAGCATCGTTTGTGAATACGGACGTAAGAGTTACCTACCGGGACAATCGTCCTGTGGTATGCAGGTACCATCTGGTCCACGCAAATATTTGTCCTGGCACACGCAGCCTGGTATGCATTCAAGCGGGTCTATGCAAAGGTCCGGCTCGTAGTACTGAGTGCAGTTCCATTTGCCGCATCCACCGTTAGCGCATGTAGTGTACACCTCGTTCTGTTGACAAGGCGCTGGAAAATGTGTAGGAAAGTGAGTGAAGAAAACAAAATGATGGTATGAATCTGTTGTTTGGAGCAACGAGCGACAGTGGAATGTTCCACCAGATACTAAAGAAGAGATTCATAAACGATTATCATTTTTATACTTACGACATTCTTCTCTAGTCACGCAGACGCCCTTGTCGTTCCTAACGAAACCGTCCTGACAGCGGCAGCCAGGCGGCAGGCACGGTTGTCCTGCAGCGCATAGCACAGCCCGGTCGTCAATACCACACTGTCTCGGTGGACAGGCCAAGGGGCATGAGTCGTATATCTCGTTCGGATTCGGGCAGAGAGCAGCTGGAAGAGAGAAAAGGGTTAATAGAGCAGAGAGCAGCTAGAAGAGAGATTTTACAATTTAACAATTAGTTATTTTAACTATGAATCAAAAAACTAGGTCTTAGTGTTTGACCAGACTAAAACAAAAGAGTGTCCAATCACCTTAAGTAACAGCACGCGACTAGATTAACGCCCGTATTCACAACGTTACTATGAGGTCTCACAGTGCGCGTGGACGCACAGGATGACACACGAACCAATCACAGAGTTCTAGTCAACGCTGTGCGTTCAATTTGCTGCTTCACTTAAGCAAGCATCGTTTGTGAATACGGACGTAAGAGTTACCTACCGGGACAATCGTCCTGTGGTATGCAGGTAATTGTACAATTAATTTATTCAGAGCAAAGAGCGACAGTGCAGTGGGATCTTCCACCTGGGATTTCTTAAGATATAAGAGCAGTCAGATAAAATCCAGATTGATAATATATTTTGGTGTTTTCATTTGAAGAGTTAGATCTCCCGCCCAATAAGTAGCTAAGAGCTTATGGCTGCGGAAGTTAATGAAAATGCGTTAATATGCACGCAGCCACTGGCTGCCCGCAGCTGGGCCGCACGACAAGGCGAATGTATGAGCTATAAGCTCACTTGCAAAATTTAAAGTAAGTAAAATGGCCAGTTGTGGCTGAACTGGCTGTTCAAAATTTTTGGCTGCGGCAGCCAGGCTACCATCCCTAAAGCTGAGCTATGATGAGCTCGGGAGACTTTTTACAGTGCCTAGTTGATGGATAAGGTATTGAAGCTATTAAGCTAAATAAAGTCCCACAGTATATTTTTTCGATTAGGAACTATGTACGAGTATGATTAGGGATGAATACAGGCAAATAACGTTTAACGTAATACGTATTTATCACTTACAGCATTGTCCTTCTTTCACACATTTCCCTTGCTTGTCGTCGTAAAGGAATCCAGGTTTGCAGACACATCCATTGAGTAAACAGGGGCAGTCCTCTGGGACAGGTCGGTTCCCGCTACATTTTGGACCACAGAGAAAACCACAGCCTGCTTCAGCGTTAGGGTCCCCACCACAGGATGCTGCGTTGCGAAAAATATTTTTGACACATTGATTTAATCCCTAACTTTCCTAACAGGTGTTAATCAAGTACTCATAGACTCAAATTCTCATGATTGCCACAGAACAAGATACCTAAAAAAATATATGTACAGAGAATTAAACTCGTCAACTTGGAAAGGGATCAACATCGTATCGCCTTTCGCGATCGCTTTTTGCACGCTGTCAATCGCGAGGCGAGGTGCGGATAAGTGTGCGTTGCAGTGTGAGTTTCATACAAATAATATTGACCGCCTCGAGTTACGGTTCCTTTCCGGGTTGATAAAATGTGGGACGTCCTTTAATAGGAATTAGTTCTTGTTTAGTTGGAATCTTTGGGATACAGTTTTGTTTTGTAATTCGTTACATTTTTTTTATTGGAATCTTAAATCATTCGACAATCCGGGCATTTTCAAGGCGATAGTGAATAGGCACTTACAGGGCAGATATGTACCATCCTAGACTGCATCCCACTTAACATCAGGTGCGATTGTGGTCAAATAACTGCCTTGTTACGCATAAAAAAAATGCGTAGACTGGGGATAGAAATAGATATTTTTAAAGACGTAATCTACTGTCAATAGCTGGCCAGTCTCTCTCTTATCGTTACAGTAAATAGATATGCATTTACTGGGTAATTACCATCCTAGACTGCATCTCACTAACATCAAGTTTTATTGTGGTCAAATATCTGCCTTGTTTTAAAAAATAGATATAGTTCTTGCAACTAACGAAGGCGAGTGAGCTTTACGTGTGTGTGTACGTGTACATGCACATAACGATAGTCTATCAAAACTTTTGAAAAAACAAACAGTAGCGAGCCACCACACATGTAAAGCTCACTCGCCGTCGTGAGTTGCAAGAACTATGTAGGTATATCAGTATGTATTGAAGTACATCACTGATTTGGTATTTTCTACTCACGGCATTGCATTTTAGGGATGCAGACTCCATTGCAGTCCCTGACGTAGCCCTCTATGCAGACGCAGGCAGGTTTATCGGGACAGCGATTGGGATCTATGCGGGGACATGAGATAGGTTTCCCGAGCTGGTCGCAAGTGTTAGGCACGCAGAGTATGGTAGGACACTTCACATATCTCTCGTTCTTACAGCATTTAACTGGATGGAACAGAAAAATATTGTTTAGGGTATGTCTAGGTATACTTTTAAAACATGCATTTTTTATGGCTACTCCATAAATTGAACGCTTTTTGCGTGCAAATATGGTTGATGGTATGCATGAACTAACCTTTGGTGCCTGATTTGTAGGAGCTGTTGGCGCTGGCGTCAGCGTACGCAGAGCTATTTGAATTGGAGCTGGTTTTGCCATCTGAAATTGGGTCAAAAAATGAACTGACAAATGGTTAGAGTGCGGCGAAAATAATAGGCATATTGACATCCACTTAATCTGAGTCCTTTAACGAATAATTCCAAGAAATTTTGGCTTAAGAAGCCTAGTTACACCATGTCAAGTTAAGCGCGCACATAGCAGCCGTGACGTCACATCGACGCTCTGGTACGGATAGTGCGAACGCGGGGAGGTGCGGAGGTACATTTTTCTCTCGAATAAAATTTGGTGTATGTCGATAACTTGATCATCATGACTGAAATTAAATCTACTCGAATTAGGTAATAATGTGAGGTGCATTCTGAAGTTAATGTGCTCAAAGCTACAAATAATAATATTTGCCGCGTTATAGAGAGGTCAATAGCTAAACAATTACCTTTGGTTTCTGTTGATGAATAAGAAGAACTACCAGATGATGAGGCAGACGAAGAATTTGATTCCTCGTAAGTCTCAATTGAACCTGGAATATACGAAAATTGAACATGAAAGGATATGAAATTCTAATCAATGAATTATAAGCACCTTGATGCCAGTAGCGCAGGACCGGTGGAAATCCTCAGGGAAGGCCTTTATCCACCAGTTGACGTCATTTAAGACGAATATCACCTGGATAGGACTGGGGGAAAAACTGAAGGTATTTTTATTGCAATTAAATTACGCTTCGTCCTTCGAATTACGCAACGTAATCACGCTATTGGCGTTAAAATGAGTAACGTTTTCCTTGCAAAATTAAATATTTACTAGAACTTGGTAGGTATGTAACTATGGTATACCACACGAGCGTAGCTTAAAGTAACTCAAAACTCATTCTTACCTGCAAATGTGCTATAAAACAGCACAGCACTTGCAACAAATAAAACAAAAGGTGACTTCAACATTGTAACTGGCAGCCCAACACACCTACGTGAAGCAGAGACACTCCTTTTATACTTAACACAAGGTACACACTTGTTAAAACACTGTTGTTTGCAACTAATAATGTCCAAGTATTATTTATTAATGTTGTGTTGCTCATTTGTTTGTGATTAACATTATTTTTTATTTTTTCATCACGGATTAAGTATTGATTGTTTTTGGGTTCCCTCGATACCTATGGTATTAATGACATTGTTTGTATTGTTACAATAATTTGTAATTTTCGATATTAAAAAGTAAGATTTTTCACTAAACCACGTCATCTGTGGCATTTTACAGGGTTCTAACAATTTAACATCTTACTATCAAATACTTTTTTATTTTATAACTCAACGGGTGGTTACAATCGCTAAATGTGTTGTTGCTTAGCGCAAAAAAAAATAGAACAGCTGAGCTAATTCAACAATTTATGTTTCATACAAATACCTGTTCGTTGAAATCCTGGAAAAGTTCTAAGGAAGAGAACAATTATTTGAAAAAAAGTTCCGGGAAAAACTTCCCAGAAACATTTCATTTACGGGAAAAACTGGACGTCTTCTATTCTTATAGATATTTTTAACCACATGACGATAATTTATTGTGAATTGAACAGAACGCTATTCTCTTGCCTGATACCTATTTAGTAAAATGACGTTTTAGTCTCATGATTTCAAGCCCATATACTAATGACTAAAATATGATGTACGTATGTGTGTAATTTTTGAGTGACAGAGTCTCTACATTATTGGACAACCCTTTTGTAGGTATAAAATAATTTATATTTTTTTCTTCACGTCTGCATTGTTACTATTTGCACTGGCCTTGCGCAGCTGCAATTCAGAGAACACAAAAACATTGCTGAAGTTTGCCGGCTGCAAATAAAAAACACGGAGACTGAGACTTGCATACAGACCTAATACTTTTAAAGACATTGCCACTATAGTCACACTCTTCTCACAAATGGATAATGTCTGTGTAATAAAATATTAGGCAACAAATCCCTATTTATTCCTATATTTTAATAGACATTAAACAAAAAACAACACTTAAAGCTACAAAAACTGTTTGGGATACTAAAAGGTTGATTATTTTTTATTGTTGTATACAGGGTGACAGGTAAAGCGATACATTCCTTGAAAGGGGTTAAAGTAGAGCTTATTTGCAGTCATTTAAGTCATATGACACCATGTCCGAAACTTGTTCATTTCCAAGTTATTCAAGATTTAAGTATTTTTTAAAAAATCTCCAGTTTTTATGTTAAAATGTACCCTTGTAATGAAGAATACATTAATAATTATGTAGTGTTTGTTAAACACCTGTACCTTTTTGAATAGCTAATGAATCAAGGAACTAAATTCTGTAATTTGTACACAACATTCCATACATTTTTTCTTGGAAATTCTTCGTTTAATTACCTAAAACATATTTTTTTTGCAAAATAATACATGGTTTTTTAGCTTTTACTTGAGTAATGACGATTCTTTCTTGCAAAATTTAATTTAAAATGTCAATCTTATTATTTAGCTATACGAATACAACAAAAAAGTTAACATTATTCCGTATTCTTCATTACAAGGGTACATTTTAACATAAAAACTGGAGATTTTTTAAAAAATACTTAAATCTTGAATAACTTGGAAATGAACAAGTTTCGGACATGGTGTCATATGACCTAAATGACTGCAAATAAGCTCTGCTTTAACCCCTTTCAAGGAATGTATCGCTTTACCTGTCACCCTGTATAATTACAGTAGCTATTATTTAACAACTATTATACTTAATTATTATCATTATATTTCTATTTTTAGCAATTAAATTACAAGTTCAGAATATATTTTTACAAAATATAATCGAAGAGTTGTATTTTAATTCGTTTTTATCAAAAAAGTATTAAAATATTTACATGTATGCGGAATACGCATGCGTACTAACCACATGAAATTCATAGATCCGGACGCGTTCCCGTGAAGTTTCACGCATGACTTATCCGCATGCAGATAAAAAGCTGCTATTTCTTAGAAAATAATAGTTTGGTTCGGTCTATAACACAACATAGCGCTTTAAATAATGTGTAGATTAATCATAACCCTTTTATGAAAAAAAATATTTACAACTTTACTAAATTTTATTCTCGCTTATCCCTTATGTTAAGCTAAATGCTTGTGTTATGAGTAGGTTTACCCCAATAGCCGGCGGGGTTCGAACCAACGTTCCTCAGATCTCGAGTCGGCCAGTCCGACACCTTCATCGTTGGGCTATTGTCGCTACATTTAATATTACTTAAAATATACGTACAAGAGTAATACGAAAGCGTTAATTAATTTACCGTTTAAACGTTTTTCTATTGTGAATTGTTTCAACAAGTGCACACTGCCGTATAAAAGAAGTAAGTGTCCTTGATAACAGACTAGAGCGGCTCACAATGTCGAAGTATATATTACTGCTGTGTGTTACTGGCTTTTTATTTCAAATAACTGCAGCAGGTATGTTTTTACGGTATTATTTTAACTTGCGCAAACGAGTCATTGTTCATGACACTAACATAGAACTGTCATACGAGTTATGAGCTGTCAAATCAATCTTTTCGTAGGCGGGTGTTGTGACGTCGTTTTTGGGGTACATAGTCTGAGTTGTGGTATTGAAATTGATTTTAAAATTAATAATTAGGAAATTAACTAAAGGTTTTTTGACAAGCTCACTTTTTTGAATGTTAAGTATGTTACCTGTAAAATATTCTGTTGGTGTCATAGTATTAAAGCCCTGGTGCAGGCAGTTTGCACTCTATACGAGTAATAGGTATGGTATTTTAATTGGGATTACATAATTTGTAAAATATTTGCTTCCAAAATGTTACTGGCCCTCTGATCTACTTATTACATAATCACAAAAAGAAATTCAACAGGTATTATTGAAGTGAAAAACAGTTTTGACTTTCCTTGTCCTACTCGTTTTTATTTGTTTACTGTAAAACAATTAACTCACAGTTAGGTGTATCCTGAAATAACAATAGGTATAGCAACGTACGTAGGAGCACAACCTGATCTTCAAAGAATATATTATTTTGATGTGGCTCTGTCTTCAGAGTTGTTCTTTCTAGTGACATGTTGGAAGACTACAGTAGTGTGTACTTGTGTAGGTACGTTTACAAGCTGAGAAATATAAGTCTTATTAATATGCTGGACCCCATCAGTTCCTTTTCATAGATCGTCGTTACTTTACGACATATTAGCCATAGTATTTTTTGGCTCAGGAAAATAGCCTGTCCATCAGTAGGTACACACAGTATCATGTGGGGCTCGAACCAACTAATAACCTGGGGTGTTCCCCGTCTTGGGTACTAGAGACGACACGTCGGGACCCATCATGCCTGCCCTCAACGGGGGCCGATGGGATTAGCCGGGACCACGGGACTAATCCTATCCGATGGCGGTGGTGACCTATGCAATTCAGGAGAGCCTTGAACCTTGCACTTGTAATTTTTTTTGACTTCATGTCATTTTAACTTATTTTATTTTTATTTCTAGATACTTCGGAAACTAATGAGTCTGTAAGCGATCAATCATCACTGGAAAGTGACGAGGATTGCTATTATGAAGTGCCGGAACGTAAGAAAAACATTTTTTTAATAGAAAATTGTTAGCAAACTGTAACATTGCAATTTTAGTTGCCATTTGGTTCCGCTTTAAATAAATAATAAATAAATAAATAATCTTTGGACAATTTCACACAGCGCCAGCTAGCCCCAAAGTAAGCAACTTAATGCTTGTGTTATGGGTGCTAGCTTAACGGATATACTACTTATATATTTTTTTAAATACATAAATATTACACATAGTCACACCCAGACCCGTCACAGAAATTAAAATTCATCATTTCAATTTCTGCCCGGCCGGGAATCGAACCCGGGACCTCTCGGCATAGTAGTCCGTTCTGAACCACTACACCAAACGGCCGACTTTATATTGAAAGATCTATTCAATATTTCAAATGAATATTTAAGTCTTAGTCAATAATGTATTCCCTTTGATCGACGATAGCACTTCGCCCGTTCATTGGTATTATAAATTAATTTCATTTGTTTGCAATAAGTACACCTGTTTTAACAAATATTGATTTATGCTTTTTTTGATAGCACAATGAACGCGCGAATAATAAAATTCACACTTGAGTTAACAAAAAACACGTGTAGCCATGGATTATCTTTCAGGCGACATTGAAAAATGTTTTTTCCATTTCTAACTACTAAATCGAAAAACACGATCAATATATCGACGGCAGAAAGCGGAAACGTCGTATCTCAAAAATTGGCTAAAATGACTTTTAATTGTATTGTATTAAGAAAAAAAAGCCGCGTCGAATGGTGTATGTATCGTCTTTCTACGATGAAAAAAAATATAGATACGTCATAGAATTTTTTCCAGTTTTTTTACAATTTACTTGACCAATTGCTGTAACTAGTCAAAAAATCGCAATTTTCGAAAATAAAATAGATACGACCACACTACTAGTATGTTAAACAGTTACAGCACTCTTTTTCTGAGTCCAACATTGATTTTAAAGGAGATACAGCATTTCAGCCGCCCTAAAATCTTACGATGTCGAACATACAGTAAATGCGCCGAACTGACGTGAGTACTTATAAAATAGTTACTGCATTTCAAACGTATCATCTAATAGCGAAAAACTTACTAACATCATTAGAATAGAGTCTTGTTTTGTGTACAGCAAGTAATACGTCACTCTAGCAAAACAAACCCCCTCCACCCGCTGCGTCATACGCCATTCTGATCGCGCGGCAGTTGTGCGTTAGCGCCGATAGTGAGAACGCAGAATTGTAAATTCTTAAAATAAATATTATTTTACATTTTTATTTGTTGTTTCGTTTCAGCCGAAAGACGTCCACTGCTGGACAAAGGCCTCCCCCAAGGATTTCCACAAAGACCGGTCCAGCGCCGCTCGCATCCAGGCACCACCCGCGACCTTCATCAGATCGTCGGTCCACCTAGTGGGAGAGAGAACTTTCCTGCCCCAGCGGCCATCAGCTCTTCGAGCTATGTGCCCCGCACACTGCCACTTCATTTTAGCGATTCTGCGGGATATGTCAGTCACTCTGGTTCTCCTACGGATCTCCTCATTTCTGATTCGATCACGCAGGGAAACTCCGAGCATAGCACGCTCCATCGCTCTTTGGGTGACTTTGAGCCTTCTTATGAAGCCCATAGTAAGCGACCACGTCTCAGATCCGTATACCATCACTGGCAACTAGTGGCAGCACACATTGGTCAAATACTTTTGACTTGAGACACTGCGGTGTTTCGGACGAGAAAATTTCGCGAAGCTTCCCGAACGCTGCCCAGCCGAGTTGGATTCGACGATTGACCTCTTTCTCGAAGTTGGCCCTACCTAACTGGACTGTTTGTCCCAGGTATACATAATTGTCAACAACTTCGAGTGTAGTGTCTCCAAGATTCAGAGGAGTGGGTACAACACGGGCATTTGACATGATTTTTGTCTTGTCCATGTTCATTTTAAGACCCACTTGTTGAGAGGCTCTACTGAGGCCATCGAGCATTGTGTTTAGGTCATCCACGGTCTCAGCTATGACTACGATATCGTCCGCGAAACGAAGGTGGGTGATATACTTGCCGTTGATATTTATGCCGAATCCGCTCCAGTCCAGAAGCTTTAAAACATCTTCCAGGGCGGTGGTGAACAGTTTCGGAGATATGACATCTCCCTGTCTCACTCCTCGCTGCAACTGGATAAGTTTCGAGTTCTGATCCTGGAGGCGGACCGACATTGTGACGTTTTCGTACAAGCCCTTCAGCACTTCGATGTATCTATAGTCAATTTGGCACCGTTGGAGAGACTGTAACAATGCCCAGGTCAGTCGAAGGCTTTCTCATAGTCCACAAACGCTTAAGTGGCTGATTATAATCAGCCGTAGCGTATGTATGTGGTATATGGTACTAAAGCCTTTCCGGAAACCGGCTTGTTCGGGAGGCTGGAAGTCGTCGAGCCTGCGTGCGAGACGGTTCGTGATGACTCTAGAAAACAGCTTGTAGACATGGCTCAGAAGTGAGATGGGTCTATAAATTTTTCAACAAGGTTTTGTCGCCTTTTTTGATGAAAAGTTTCACCACACTTCTGTGCCACGCCGTAGGCGTTTTTCCCTCAAGTATGACGGAATCGAACAGCCTCTGAAGAGCCTTTAGTACCGGTCTTCCGCCTGCTTTCAGAAGCTCAGCCGTGATTCCATCATCACCCGGTGCCTTGTTGTTTTTCAGCAGTTTGAGCGCCATTCTAATCTCGTACAGACTGACGTCCGGGATATCTTCGGTGTAGTGTCGGGTCAATCTAGCTTTTGGGTCTTCAGCTAGATTTGGGAAGTACACTCGTGTATAATTGTCCATAGAACTTCTCAACTTCTTCCAATAACTCAGGCCCCGACGAGATGTCTCTGCCATCCTCGGTCTTCAGCTTGGTCAGTTGACTTTGGCCAAGCTGAAGACCCCTTGCGAACACTTTAGAGCCTTTGTTACGCTCAATCGCCTCTTTAATACGATCTGTATTAAATTGGCGTAGGTCGCGAGTCAAAGACTTGGAGATCTGTCTGTTAAGACGCCGATACTGAGCAGCATCTTCAGAGGACTGCAGAACCAAGTTTCGTCTCTCTTCTATAAGTTTATTGGTGAGGTCAGAGATCTTTTTGGTTTCTTTTGAACGACGGGTTTTAAAGAACTTAGACCCAGTCGTTTGGACAATTTCCACGAACCTGTCATTGTATTCGTCCACAATTTCGCAGTCTCCCAGGCATTCGAAACGATTTTGCAACTCGAACTGAAAGCTTTCGGGGTTTTGGAGTTGGATGGGCGCTGGGCGGAGCGTAGACTTCATCAGTCGAGCTTCACAACGGTAAAATGGGACCGGGAGCTATGTATGGCTCTGGAAATATCCTCATATACATACAGTCTCCACTTCGTCGTCGGGGTGTTCCGTGGTCGGTGCGTATACCTGTATGACCTTCAGCGAATACCGTTTGGTGATTCTGAGTATAAGGTACGCTACCCTCGCCGAAATACTCTCGAGCTCGTTTGCCTCCTATCACATAAAAAAAAAAAAAAAAAAAAAAAGATCTGGACCACGTTGTTGACAAGGGACTTGTGGACGATAAACCCGACACCACCCTGGGACTGTTGGTCGCCCTCCCGGAAATAGAGCAGGTTTCCGGATTTCAGGATTATGGTGTCCTCCCCCTCTCTTCGGACTTCGCATAATCCTACGATATCCCACCGCAACCTGCTCAGTTCTTCCTCGAATTCGGCGAGCCTCACGTCAGGCCGCAGCGTGCGAGTGTTAAATGTTGCCAGGGCCAGAGGTCGTCGGGGTTGGTAGCCTGTCGGTACCCGGTGATTCTTAGCACCTCTCGCCCCAACGTTACCGTGACCGCTACCGTGGCCCGGGATAGTAGGGCCGCCGGGGACTAGGGGCCGTGTTTTTTTGTGTCTCTTCATGAGGGGATTTTGCCTTAATCGCCACGCTTGGCAGGCGGGTTAGCGATCGCAGTTTTTTTTTGTGAGGTTTCGCACGCAGACGCTGCTGCCCGTCCGGTGCTGCAGGGATTTTGTCGCCTATTACGACACGCCTCCTGTTGGCGGTGGGGAAGAGTATTCTTTATGGCCGTCCCCCCCACACGGCACTTGTTGTTTACGTGTTTAAAAATAATAAATGGCAAACCTCAGGACAAAGTATAAGTAAGTGATTGTTGCAAGCAATAAAGAGAAAGTATAGCAGACTGATTTATGTAACTAATGAACAAAGAAGGAAAAGTAACATGATGATTATTTTTATTTAGTTTAAAAACTAATACTGAATTTAGCAGATTGATTGTTGAAACTAATGAAGAAGAAAAACTATGGCAGGCTGATTGTTAAACTTTTAAAGAGAAAGTGTATGCTTCTTAAAATTAATGAAGAAGAGAGATAAAGTAATAAAGTAATAAAGAAGATTATTTTTGTCGGACTGATTATTATAATTAAAAAACAGACTGATTTTTTTGTGCCATTACATTCTTAAAATTTAAATAAAACAGTTAAGAAAAAGATACAGTATTTTATTGTTTTCACATCTCTGACTCTTATTGTATATAAAACATTTCAAATGTAGAAAGTTATTTCATTAAAAGGTCCATACAGCTAAATAGCCCTGTAGAGTTTATCGTTTCTTTGAGATACAGCAGATCCGCTGCCTGGGAACTGAAGTCAACTTAAATAAGTCATACATTTTACCTTCCTGATACAACATTTCTGCAGCTCGATATTAAAAAATCAATTGCTGTAACTAGTCAAAAGTCAATGAAGTAGTAACTCTAGAATATTCCAATCACCTTTATTAAATAAAGTTTAATTAGTAGACAAAACATGTAAAATTTCAGCTTTCTAACTTTCTTAATTTAAGATTTATGAATTTTTGAAATAGTTTTTTTGCTCTGGTGTAAAATCGGACTTTTTGAGATACGACAAAATCGCTTTCTGCCGTCGATATTCAAATATTGAGCAAATTTTTCTTGGAATAAACAAAAGTAGGTATCTGGGCATTTCTACTGTACGGTGTATTTTTTCTCAATTCGGTGCTAAAATTTATATTTAGTTTTTTAAGTAGTTTCAATACAAAAAAATAAATGTTACTCCATTCTGAATGTAAAAATAGCATTGTCACTAAATATTGTGAAGTGGTTTATGAGAAATGTTAAGCATCGAATTGAGAGAGCACCGAATTGAGAAAATGAATCACGGAATTGAGAAATGAATCTCCAAATATAAAAATCGCTTCGCAAACTTAGAATTCATGACATTATGAAGAAATACCTAATGTATTTCAATAATTAATATAATAAATACTTAAAACGTTTTGATATCTGATTGCTGGTCTATTAGTTAGATGGTTCATTTTAGGTTTATGTGTCTGAAATACCAATGGAATAAAACAAAAATCCTAATCAATACATATGTTAAATTTTTTAATAAGGAACTATAATAAATTCTTAATTTTTATATATTATTTTAATTTTATTTAAATAAAACAAATAAATACATAACACAGGGTCTCTTTGTTTATTTATTCTTAACCTTAAACATAAAACAAATATTGCAAAACCCAAGAGCTAGATTGACCTGACAATATACCGAAGATATTATATCGGATGTCAGTTTGTACACGATTAAAATGGCACTCAAATAGCTGAAATACAACAAGGCACCAGGTGTTACGGCATTATAGCTGAGCTTCGCCGGTACTAAAGGCTCTACAGAAGCAGTTCAATTCCGTCATTCTCGAAGAAAAACCGCCTTTGGTATGGCACAGAAGTGTGGTGATAGCATAATAGACTCATCTCACTTATGAGGCGTGTTTACAAGCTGTTTTCGAGAGTCCTTACGAATCATCTCGTTCGCAGACTCGACGACTTCCAGTCTTCCGAACAAGCTTGTTTCCGAAAAGGCTTTAGTATTGTGGTACACAAATAAGTACGCTACGGCAGATTATACAGAAGACCAAGGAGTCGCGATATCGGGGATGATATCAGCAGTAATCTCATTAAATACTTCATGAACATTATTAATGTCGCACACCGATTTGAGAAATGACCAGTGACCAAAATTTCTGAGTGATTTCAAACCTCTGAAAAATGCTCCTCAAAGCGACTGATCCCTCTTTTATACTGCTCGACCACTCGAGTGCAACTGCTAGTTTATGGGAATCAGGCGTGGGTGTTCGTACTGTGCGTTGTTAGTGATTTAAGAGCACAAAAGTAAAAATCACGGAATTGAGGCTCACACGTCGGACAAAATTTAAATGTGTTACTGTATTAAAACCCAAGGACTTGCAATAAAGAAACTCATTTATATAGCTTTATTAACTATCCCTTGTTCTGTGAATGTGGGTTTCATAATGGGGAAGTTATTATTTCAAAAGTTATAAAGCAAAAACGAGTAAATTCTGGAAACCGGACACTCCATTTTAGGCCAAATTTCGCCCGTTTTTGAACTTTTGCATTTTTTCAAGGCGAGATGTAAAACCTGGCGGTCTTCTAAATATGCTCTCCATCAAGTCAAGAGTCCTATAAATACGTGTGATTTTTTTCAAGTCCGTACTTCAATTTTAAAGGTACTTTTTTCGCCCCAGTAGGTCGATCGGTCGTCCCCGTAGAAATGCCCATCTGCTAGATGGGAAGATCTAAAATGCTAAACGCAAAAGGCTCATTCGCGAAAAGGTTCTTTAGGCTGGTTAAAAAAGGTCATGTTTGTAGAAGTAAAACTCCATAAGGCAATTTCCAATCTTGCGAAAGAGATCCAGAAAAATTGTATTTAATTTCTAATTCATCAATTAGGTGTAGCTAATTCTTTAACCTTTCCCATACCATCAGAAAAAATGATGAACCTAAATTAGAAATAGAAAGGACAGCTTAAGATTAAGAAAGAAAAAAAGAAAAATATATAGTCCAAATACGAAATCATATTAGATTAGTTATGAATATAAATTAATATTCCATATTACATTTCAGCTCAATGCCCGGAGAACGAACAATTCTCCCAATGCCCGTTCAGTACATGTCGGCCTCAAACCTGCCAAGAGGCAGGATTCCCAGTGCCATGCCCCATAATGGGCCCTGATGGTCAATGCCCTGGAGAACCAGGGTGCATCTGTGTTAGCGGATATTTAAGAAACGACGAAGGCGTTTGCATCCCTGAGAAGCAATGTCGTGAGTAACATTTTGGTTAGTTGAATTATTAAGATACATGTAGGTATGCAGGTACCCATTATTAGGTACCATTACGTATTAAAACATACCGCCTACTCCAATTTTTGCATGGCCTATAGGTTAACTAAGGGATAATGCCATATGGTATTAAGTGATATTAAGTTCGTACACTCTGTTCAATGCACATAAGATTGCGCTCGCATTATTATTTATTTTTTTATGCACAACGAGGAAGATCTTGGCCTGTATCTCACCTGATGGTATGTAATTTAGGTAATTAGAATTTTCATTCAATAAGTGATTTGTGCACAAACATAATATTCGTTGCTCTTTGATTATAGTAGGTACTGCTTCTCTGCACTGATCGAAGAGCGATCAGTGTAATTGTAATTGAAACTTTCAGGGTTACACCGTATAAAATTAATATTAAAATATTTATATCTCGTCTTGTGAGGTGTAAAATAAAGGGTTACCTATCTATCTTTAACACAACAATGAATTATCTTTTCACAGCATCTTGTGGGGGCGACAAAAACGCAGTCCGAGGCTGTGGAGTCCACTGTCGCAACACCTGCGCCACTTATAAAGCTTCAAAAAAATTGCCGTGTCCACTGTTCTGTAACCTGAACGGCTGTGATTGCAGACAAGGATTCGTATTTGACGGAAACTTGAAGAGATGTGTGAGACCTCAGGATTGCAGTAAGTCTTAGGCTGGGTTGCAGCATCTTACTTTGACTTTAACAAATGTCAGAAGCTGTCAAACTCCATAGAGTCCATATAAAACACACCGGTTATCGTTATATTTACTGTTAAAGTTAGGTGGTGCAACTCAGCCTTATTGTGGAATAGCGAGATTGGTGATTATAATAATCAAACGATTTAGTTCGAATCTTCTTTTGAAGTCGATAAAGTATTTTTCTTTTATTTAATAAGAATGTAATTTGGCGTAGATGTTGAATAGATCTTATAACTACTAAATTATGGGACTACTTTCATCCACCCTCATAATATTTGATGAGTATACGATAGTACGATACACTTTATTACATTTCGACTGTTCAAAATGGGTACAGTCAAGTCTAAGTCAAAGTCAAAAAGTAATTTTTGACACCCAAAGTGGCCAAAAAGTTGATAACACAACCTTATTCCAATGGCAAAGACGTACTGGGAACTTGTTGGCTACTTTGGATGTCACAAATTATTTGTACATGATACAAAAATTTTCATTGACAAAGTAACAGAGCAGGTTGTTAAAATACTGACTTTTTCCAGCACCAACTTGTCAAGTGAACGAAGTGTTTGAGTCATGTTCCAATGTCATATGCCGTACTCAGAATTGTGCTGATAAAGGCAAGAATATACCATGCAGAGGTATAACCGATAGACGCTGTGACCCCAAATGTCTTTGCCGAGAAAACTATATGAGGAATAAGGATGGAAAATGTATACCCGAAGACCAGTGTGAAGCGGGTAAGTTTGGCATTATAATAAGTGGAAGCAGACAGCTAGTCTCGTTCGAAAACTCAAGTCATTGTCATACAACAAAGAAGAAGACCAGTCTGACTCCAAGGACAAACTTTCAGCTTAGGCACCCCTACTTGTAAATAAAATTTATTTTCAGAAGTTAACTTGTAAAGATCACGTCTTATTCTTTACCAATATATAGGCGTTAGTCATTACCAATATACCAAGACAAAAGTATTTGACCAGTGTGTAGCCAGAGATGGTCTGATGATGGTCTGGTGATCTGAAACGTGGTCGCTCACTATGGTCCTCACAATAAGGCTCAAGGTCTCCCAAAGGGCGATGGAGTTTGGCTAGAGATGGCGGCTATGCTCGGAGTTTCCCTGCGTGATCGAATAAGAAATGAGCAGGAGAACCAAAGTAACCGACATAGCTCGCAGAAATTGCTAAAATCAAGTGGCAGTGGGCGGGTACTTCTAATAGGTGGACCTACGATCTGGAAAAGGTCGCTGGAAGAGCCTGTGGATGTGGACAGCGCAGAACCGTTCATTGTGGAAAACCTTGGGGGAGGCCTTTGTCCAGCAGTGGACGTCATTTGACTGAAACGAACCTACCAATATACTTTTAGCAATACAGCTCCTGGTAACTCTGCCACGAAGAAGGAAGTAACTCAATTGTTTTCATTTATTTTTCTTTTCCTTTATTTTAGCATCTAACACAACTGCACAAGGACCTGATTCACCGTCATCAACAAACACAAGTACGAGCACATGTACCGATGCCGCCACTCAGGAGGCAAATTTGGAACGAGGAAACACCATCTTTACGGGAAAAGTCTTCTATGTAAGTCACTTTTTCAGTAAGTCTAATCATCAAAATTAAATCATTAAACTATCCAAAATGTAGACTCCCGGTTGGAGGTCGGGGCACATCCACACCCAAGGTGGATCGACGCTAGATGCAGGCCCCTACAAACCAGGCGATGTGAAAATCATTGAAGAAGGCTTTCATCCATCAGCTAAATATGTATAAATATAATAAATACAATAAATAAATAAATTGGAGGTGGCTCGGCTTCTGCTGCCAAGGGCTACCTATCTCAGATAGCGCTGATTTCCAGCTACTCTTACAGACTTCTCTTAAGGTTTTAAACGAGAAAATGCTCACGGGACTTAGAAAATACGAGTAAAAAGAGAAAAAAAATCTTATTGAAGTACACTTTATTGTTTGTGCCTGTATGAATTAGATATTAATTGTCACTTCCATTAGACTTTTTACACATTATAGCTTTCTTACAGCAAGTTGTGAAGAACAATCCAGAAAAAAGCGTAATAGTGTCACCATTATCGGTACTTCCACCCTTGGGTATACTCGCTTTGAGTTCCAGAGGCCAAACGAACCAAGAATTGCTGAATGCACTTAACCTCAAAAGTAACGACGATGTAAGTACTTAATTTTTATTAGACCAACATTATGTTGTCTTTTAGTCTGAATCTTAGAGTTCTCAATTAAACAATTAACTACATCAAGTTAATTGTTTAATGCGATCCCCGCGTCGACCGGTGGACTATCGTGGTGAACCTACTTCTAACACAAGCATACATTTAATTTTTAGTCGGTGGAAATAATAGTAATTCGTAATACAATTTATGAAGCAAGCAAAATGGTCAAAACCTCGGGTTCTAATATTGCAACCATACAAATTTCTTATTCTATATTGTTTTCTTTTTATTGACTGCAGGTAAGATGTGCTTTTCCCGGTCATCTACGTCAGATAACAGCAACGAACGGAACGGAATTGGACTACGGTGCCAAAATTTACGTCTACGAACAAGGCAAACTCAACCAAACTGTGCAAAATGACGCGAAAAACGTATTTAATGCGTCAGTAGAGAGTCTGGATTTCACTAATCCTAATAACGCCAGTGATGTCATTAACAATTGGGTAAGCAATTGTAAACCATAAATTTTATTATTGTAACAAAAGAAAAGGAACTCTTGGTAAATGTTAATCTTGGTAAAAATAGGTTTCAGATGTTACAAAGGGAAAGATTACTAAACTTACATCGCCGGATATGTTTGATGCTATGACACGATTGGTCATAGCCGATGCCATTTATTTCAAGGTAAGTTAAAAAGAACATGATATTTCACTACGCATATTATTTATTTATTTTTAAACGATTTTATATGCAGTTTCGGTTAGTGTCCGTGACTTCCACCCGGCATGTAGCACACTGAAAACCAGTGTCGTAGCCTTTCCCACCGTGGGCCACGGCATATATGCTGAGTGGAGTCCCGTTGCGATGGGCATCGCTGTTGTAACAGGGTGGCACACTTCACTTTTTATTTCCTTGTAATATTTATGTGCTATTTCTATGACTATTTCTGTCTTTTTTCAGTATACTTTCTTTGTTCATCTTAGTAAATATTTCTTTCTTTCTTTTATTTTATTAAACAGAGTTTTTTTTACAATTTTATTGTAACTATGAGCTGTGCTACGAGTACCAATAGTTTTTAATGAACTTACTTGGTCACTGACGAATATGGCAATATAGTTTAAATTAACACCATTACTTTCAGGGCCTTTGGAAATATGAATTCAACATAAATAATACAAAACCCAGAGATTTCCATGTTAACAGTAATAAAACTATACAAGTGCCAACCATGCAACAGAAAGGGAAATTCCAATATGCCGAGTTATCAGATCTTAACGTCCAGGTAAGTTGAAATCAGTTACCCATTTTTTCAACGTTTACAAATACATAGAAATTTCTATCCTGTAAGCTAGGTCAGGTAATTTGGAAGTCCTCTTATCGACTCAATTTGTATGAGGACCAAACTATCAACCGGTAAATAAGGCTGAGTTGAACCACCTAACTTTGACCGCTACTTTGACGATAACCGATGTTTTTTGTATGGAGTTTTACAGATGTTTGACGTTTGTTAAAGTTAAAGTAAGATGGTGCAACCCAGCCTTAATCTGTAGCCTGCGGGGTGTCTTACGCACGTATTCACAAACGATGCTTGCTTAAGTGAAGCAGCAAATCGAACGCACAGCGTTGAATAGAGCTTTGTGATTGGTTCGCGTGTCACCCTGTGCGTCCACCAGTACTGTGAGACCTCATAGTGAATACGGGCGTTTCTCGCCTTGTGGGAGGAACTATCGGAATCTTTAAATAGTAAACTGAGGAATTATAAGAACATGTTTGGCCTTTTTCCAGGTTGTAGAACTGCCATACAAAGATGAAGATATAACATTTTTGGTAGTTTTGCCAAGGGAAACTGATGGGCTATTATCAGTTGCGGAGAAACTCCAAGATCCAACAGTAATAGACAAAATTTACGGTAGTCTGTCTGAACAAACAGTGACCATTTTCTTGCCTAGAATACCAGAAGTATCAACGAGGACGAATTTGATTGATGTCTTGAGATCGGTAGGATTTGATTGTATTTTAACCAAAGTTTTACATAATTTATTATCAGTGTTTATTTATTTCCCAAGAGTTGCTTTAAAGATTATTCAAATAATACTAATTCAAATAGTCCAATGAACAAAGGTTTTGGTAGCCCTCTTTTCGGAAAAGATATCGAAAAGGTTTTTTTTGGAGCATAATGCTGTATATTTTGGTTTACAGATTGGTATAACATTAGTCTTCGATTCCGCCAAATCTGAGCTGAGTGGCATGACCGTACCCGATGAGGCTCTTTACGTGTCTGATGCTGTCCAGGAAGCAACCATCACTGTAAATGAGGAGGGAGCTGAAGCCGCCGCTGCGAATGGTAAGTTTCGCATCATCAGTAGGTATTGTGTTATTATAGAAATACAGGGTGTTAGGTAAATGGGTAATGGGTATATGAGCCGACACTAGCCCATGTTAACATGGTCATATAAATGGTATGGTGAAGTCAGAAAATTGATAATATCTTCATTTTAATTATTTTAATTTTCATACAAATCGGATTTTATAAAATTTATTTTGTATGAAAATAAAAAAAAATTAAATGATGATATTATACAAATTTCTGACTTCACCATACCATTATATGCCCATGTTAACATGGACTAGTGTCGGCTCATATACCCATTTACCTAACACCCTGTATACCATTATCAATCCAACAGTTCATATTTTCAACTGTGCCACTTTTCATTCTAATTTAGAAGCACTTCAATGTAATTTATAACGTGTTATTTTTGATTAAAATAAGTATAAATTTTTCAGCAGTTGTTATAGTATCAAGAAACATGCCGTTGCCTCCACCAGTTGAATTCAAATTAATCGCCGACCATCCATTTGTATTCCTAATAAGAGTCAGAAATTTGATTATATTCATAGGGACTTTTGCGAATAAGGTTTGAATTTAAAAAAGTTTTAACAGCTTTATGGTACTTACAGTTAGCGACAAATATACTCAAAACCTAATAAATCGCACCTTCTGCGACGCGAACATTAAAGATTTTCTTCTGACACAATCATGGTGCCCCAACAATATTAGTGTTATTTGAAAGCCCAATAAAATATTCTTAAAGAAAAACACATTTAATTTCTTAACAAATGATTAACATACACCATAAAATGTGACTTGAAAAAAACCTCACTTTGGACTCACCTCTGGGATCAATTGACCAATTTTTATGGTCATAAAACCAAATAATGATCTCACGTGTCTTCTTTAACAGATGGATAGCGATTAATCCCAACTTAACAGTGTTAATATAGCCATAAAAGTTGGCTCAAGCGTAATTACCTATTTTTTGAACAAGTGACTTTGGATCCTTCTAAAGACACATTTTTGGGGTAAAAACCTTTCCTTTAATGAAATGAAGTTTAGAACTAGGCTTTTAAATGGTGCCAATAGTGGTGGGGATGCATACGTTTGAAAGTGCTTGTCGCGGAAGGTGCGATTTATTTGATGTCGAGGTAGATCGTGATATCCAAAGTGGCCAATAAGTTGAAAACACAACCTTATTCCAACTGTAACAAAGACGTGTCGCGAACTTATTGTCTACTTTGGGTGTCACAAACTATTTGACGCTGACTGTATAATCTTAGCACAAATAAAAATTCCTACTTGCAATCAACGTCAGAATTAATAATGAATAACATCATTATTTTCTTCCTTTTTCTTATTACTAAAAACTCTATTACCTATTGTGGGGCTGCGTGACAGGTCAAAAATGTAACTTTAACTCACTTGCAGGGCTAGGATGCGCGCCACGATTAACTTTTATCGATGATGCGCGATAAGCCCATACATTTGTCGTCTACAACGATAAGGATTTATCATGGCGCGCATCCCTGTTTTTTGGTAGATACACTCCCGTATTCACAAACAATGCTTGCTTAAGTTAAGCAGCAAATCGAACGCACAGCGTTGAATAGAGCTCTGATTGGTTCGTGTGTCACCCTGTCCACGCACACTGTGAGACCTCATAGTAATGTTTGTGAATACGGGCGTACCTTATTTGTTGTATGGTTGCAGCTTTCGGTGTGACAGCTTTGTCGGCTACCATCGGGGGACCTAAAGAATACTATTTCAACGCCGATCATCCTTACGCTATTTACATTAATATTCGCCGCCGTATAACACTGTTTTGTGGAGCGTTTTATGGATAAGGTGGGACTTATTAAACCTACTAACAAGATAAATAATCTTTTTCAATACCCGCTTTTAACTGTAAAGTCAGCAACGTGTTTTCTGATTCTTTTAATTTAAATGAGGAATAAACTAACGTACTTTTTTATTGCAGGCTTGAAAGACTACACCCACTTTTCCGGACACGAGAACTCATTTCTTCGAATGTATTTTTACCTGATGGTGTCTTTAATAAATGAAAATTCAACCTTAACTATGTGTTTTTACTCAACAGACCCGGAATATAGATAATTATATCGGAATGTTAAATTTTAAATAATTATGGCTCACGTAACTCTGACAAAATGTCCTAAAAAATTGTATAATAATTATGGTAGATAGCAATAATAAAGAAATAAAATAAAAAGATATAAAATTATTCCTAGAATCCCATAAAATTATGACAGAATTCTATAAAATCGATTTAAAATAGTGAGTGTGCTTCGGAAAAGATTCACTCATTTATGACTCATCGAAAATGTTTTTAATATTGAAACAGAAATTGGAGATAATAACAATAGAAATCCTTGAAAATGTGACACTGCACTATACTAGCCATAAATTAATTAAGCAAAGTACAGATACAAGGTGTTCTAAAATTAGCACGTCACGTCACTGACCCTGGACGTAGCTGGGCCTAAAAGCATCGAACAAGCCTAATTATGTCCATGTAAAAGTTTCATAAGTTTTGAAATATTAGGTACCATTTTTATTATTAATGTCCATAGTCCACGGTACACAAGGTGGACCGACGACCTCACAAAGGTAGCGGGAAGGCGTTGGATGCAGGCCGCCACCAACCGGCCATGGTGGAAATCACTGAGGAAGACCTATGTTCAGCAGTGGACGTCCTATGGCTAAAAATGATGATGATGAATGTCCATAGAAAAGTTTGATAAGCTTTGAAATATGACACTTTGTAGGCCATAGTGTACAATAAAATATAATAGAATAGACCAAGCATCTAATATGTTATGAATGGAAAAACCCTAGACTAATGAAAATGTTTGTGTTCTGTGTAATTAGTGCGGCGATCGAACCCGGGTTTTTTCACCATCAATCTTGAACACGAACTAATGAGAAGCATAACTATTTATAGATAAGAATATGATAATATGTTATTACGTTGATTGTTCCGTCACGTTCACGTTCCGTATAAAACACAGAGCTCATCAAGGTAGTTCACTATACGGACCTCAGCTGCTTGATCATCATGGCTAAGTTTGTAGTGCTACTGGTTGTTACCGGAACGTTTCTGAAGCTATCTCTTGCAGGTATGTGTTGACCGTTAAATTATAATCTATTTTCGAGTTTATCTTAGTTTACATTTGCATACAAAAATGCATTCGACTTATTATTATTGACGGGATTGCTATCGGAAACTCAAAATTAAAGTACATGGTACAATCCCGTCAGTAATAATAATTATGATAGTGACCATGAAAGTTTAAAACATTATAAAAATGCATTCTCTTAAAACCATCGAAGATTGTGTGGGAAGGCATATTCTATCTTTGCGATTTGCCCTTTGAGCTTTGATTGTTTTTATGATTAAAGTTACAGGTTTTTTTGTCTAGCAAACTTTAATACTTAATGTCTTAATTGCCCCGCAGCACCCCAATGCAAAGACGATGAGGTTTACAACGATTGCGCCAACTTTCGGTGCGGGCCAGAGAAATGTGCTGATATCAACAAATTTCTGAGTTGCGAGTTCTCTACAGGCACAGAGTGTGAGCCAGGATGCATGTGCCCTAGTGGATACCTGAAAAATAAAGACGGGACTTGTGTATCTGTAGAGAAATGTGGTAAGGCCTGATTTATACTATCCCAACTAATATTATAAATGCGAAAGTAACTCTGTCTGTCTGTCTGTCTGTTACGCTTTCCCGCTTAAACCTCGCAACCGATTTTGATGAAATTTGGCATAGAGATAGTTTGAGTCCCGGGAAAGACACATAGGATAAGAAACATAGGATAGTTTTTATCTCGGTTGTTGAAACAGGGACGCGCGCGATAAAGTTTTTCTGTGACAGACAAAATTCCACGCGGGCGAAGCCGCGGGCGGAAAGCTAGTAATATTATAAATGCGAAAGTAACTCTGTCTGTCTTGCTTTCACGTCTAAACCACTGAACCGATTTGATGAAAGGCATACTTAGAGATAGTTTGAGTCCCGGGAAAGGACATTGGATAGTTTTTATCCCGGTTTCTGAAACAGGGACGCGCGCGATAAAGTTTTTCTGTGACAGAAAAAAATCCACTCGGGCGTAGCAGCGGGCGGAAACCTACATTCTAGATATACTCGTAAGAATACGTAATTAATGGTATAACGTTAGTAGAATTACAGTCTTTTGAATATACAGAAAAAGCCACCGTAAAAGTTAGACTTACGTTATAATAAAAAATTTGATTTTTATGTATAATATTGGGGCAATAATTAGAAGTATTTTCCCCAACAGCCAGACAGTTTTGACTGTTCCAACTCCTTGAAAGACAGTTTTTTAGGGTAGCTCCCAAAGCCACCACGACCCAAACTTCATAATTCACCAACATTATATCCTATATTGGGAGCATACGCTGACAAACTTTCAGCTTTTATAAAATGACGTAGGTCTGGCGTTCACTAGCTCTTAGTCTATAACTATAACGATCTAGCGAAGGTCGCGGGAAGCATTTGATTGCGGACAGCGTAGAACCGGTCGTAGTGGAAAATTTTGATCCAGCAGCAATGGAAGTTATTTGGTTGAAATGAATTTGACCTTTGTAATGGTCTTAGGAGGAATGGAGAAAGTTATGAACACAGATACTACCACAGAATAATAATAATAATTTAGGCAGTTAAATACTGCACAGTATTTTGTACACCGTTTTTTTTCCATCACACACAAGAATACGCGTGCGTGAGTCAATGCTCGCTCGTATGTGAGGCCTTGTCGATTAGTGATCCTGTGAGGTGCATCGCGCTTGTTTTGTTTTCTATGTAAACTTGTAAACTCGCGGAGATGAACAGGACTGATACTAACTACCTCTAGTCTACTTCTGTAACTTACGCCCGTATTCACAAATATTACTATGAGGTCTCACAGTGCTCGTGGACGAACAGGGTCACACACAAACCACAACAGAGCTCTATTCAACGCTGTGCGTTCGATTTGCTGCTTCACATAAGCAAGCATCGTTTGTGAATACGGGTGTTAGGTAATTTTCAGGCCTGTGAAACTTAAATAAGATTTCCAGTTGCAAAATAAATTCAAGCTTCTGATTGACGAGTATAGTAATTCAACCAATCTACAGGACTGAATCTGTGCTCAAGTATGAATAGAGTAATTCGAGCCTAATGACAGTTGACATCACATCGGACTACTTACTTAATTATCTTGCAAGATCGCACGTTTTCACAAACTACATAATTATTACTACGAGTACTACCTAAGATGCCTTAGATGGACAGAGCACATGGTACGCAGAACTGACGGCCGATGGGGCAGCAAGGTTCTGGAGGCTACGTACCAGAAAGGTAGGACGTCCACCCACAAGGTGGACCGACGACGTCATAAAGGGAGCAGGAAGGCGCTGGATGCAGGCCGCCACCAACCAGCCTTTGTGAAAATCATTGGGGGAGGCCTATATTCAGCAGTGGCAGTCATGATGATGATGATGATAAAGATGCCTTAGTGTTACTTATTACACTTTCAAATTTATTACTAACTAGCTGACCCGGCGAACTTTGTTCCGCCTTAATGGCAATAAATAACGGGATAAAAAGTATCCTATGTCCTTCTCCTGGCTCTAAACTACCTCCCTGACAATTTTCAGCTAAATCGGTTCAGCCGTTCTTGAGTTATAAGCGAAGTAACTAACACGACTTTCTTTTATATATATAGATAGTATAGATAGATTAAAAATTAAAAGAAATGACTAAAGCCTGGTCCATGAGCACGTAAAATCCCGTCCAATGACCCCAAGTTACCCATCCTTATCGCTCGCGCGTAATTATATTGCTGTCGCGACTGTGCGACGCGCACCCGCAGTGAGTGTGCGAGCGCGACAGCAACATAATTACGTGCGAGCGATAAGGATGGGCAGCTTGGGGTCATTGGACGGGATTCTACGTGCTCATGGACCAGGCTTTAGTCATTTCTTTTAATTTTCGAACGGGATAACGGACTCACGGACCAGGCTTTATAAGGATAATCAAAAGAATAATTATCTTTTTCCAGACCCTTCTCCCAATACTAACTGCGGCGCCAACGAGGAATTTTACAAATGCGGCCGTGAAGGCTGCAGCCCACAATATTGCAGCGACCTGGAATCTTCACCTTTCTGCAGAGACGGGCCGTGCGTACCACTGTGTGACTGCAAGGAAGGGTTCCTGAGGGTGTCGTATGATAACAACACCTGTGTTACGACAGAACAGTGTAAAAAGATGTAGATAAGCATTTTCTGAGAAAGCTGTGCCTGAAGATATCAGTAGATCAGCATCAGGAACGGTTATTGCTCATAATGTCGTAAGTCCAAAGACGTTAATACTGCACTACTCGTATTATTTATGTATACTGTAAAATGAAGTTTATTAAATTGGTTTCGGTAATATTTTATTTGATTAACAAAACCTTCACATTATTCATACATAGCCGTTTATTGTTAAACGAATAATAAATTAAGCATTGGTGATTATATTTTTATGAACAAGTTGAATCATTCTTTTGAGGTCTAGGGACTTCACTTCTATTTATTGTGCACTAGCAAATAACAATATGAAGTAATTTGAAAATCGTGACTAGTAAATAAACATCATTATTATTAGGATACAAAGTACCTACAGACAACGGCACGTCAAGGTAAACCCTGTGGGCTCTTAGGCGGTTGTAATAAGAGCGAATTTGTTATAACAATGGGTAGTCTGATATGCTGTACTTATTTATTTTGTGTGGTAGGTATTGCTTCTAAAAACTGACACTGTATTCTAAAACGTGCAAAGCAAACTATTTATTAATTTTGTAATGCTACTCTAATTAAACTCAATTTTATTTTTATTTTATGCAGTCGACTTAAGCCTGATTCGACCAAACTTTTATCCGAGAATAACTCCTGGAGTAACTGGCATATTGATAGTTTCAGTATAGGAAATATTATGTCAAAACTGACGATTTATTCCGAGATTAATATTATTTACTCTTGTTTGGTCGAATCCACTCTTAAAAGATTAAAATTATTTTCAGTTGCAAAATAACACCAAACTAAAAAAATATTATAAGATAGAACAACGACTAGTTTCAAACTTATTAAAAATAAAAATAACGTATAATATAATATTATATTCTTTCAATAGGTAAACTTTTGTTTAATTCACAAATAACATAAAAATACAACAGTCATCTTTATTGCAAATCATATTTTATACATTTACAAAGTACATTCCGCACTGTTTACGCATATACCTGTAGGATCCCGGTAATAACCTTTATCGCACCTACACGCTGGCTTACATGGTACCACGATGCCGATATGATATTTTGGGCATGTCGCATTGTTCAAAAAGTCAGTACAGGTCTCCCCAGGGCACACAGGTGGGCACGCGTCGTAGTTTTCATTTGGGCCTACACAAGGAAACGGAGCTGGAACAGAATAAAATTGATTATCTGGTGGAACCCTAAGCCTAAGCGATTTGTAGGTATAGTGTCTTTTTTAAGCAGAACAAGGCAGGTATTTGACCGCAATCGCACCTGATATTAAGTAAGATGCAGTCTAGGATGATGGTACTTATTTCTGCCCTGTAGGTGCCAATTCACTCTCGCCTCGAAAACGCCCGGATTTTAGTGTTCGGTAAAGACAGCAGAAGGCAGCGAATTCCAATCCGTTAGACGTTCGTATTATGAAAGAGTTATCGAATCGCTTAGTGCGAGCTGGTGGAATGTCGACAATGTACGGATGGTACGCTAACTTGCGTCTGATTCCCCAGTGATGGAAGGGGGGGTGATTTATCTCTACTAGCCGTAAAATTTCTCATGTTGAAAATGTATGTTGAGGTCTTTTTAGTAGGCTCACGAATTGGTTTCTAATACTTATTTGTCTTACTACTTCTTTCTTTCTTACCTATTTTGTATAGGTATATTAAACAAATTGCTGACGTCATAATAACATGGGTAATTTCCTCAATCCTGGTTGTGTGAATTACGTATTATATAAGTAAATAAACTTTTTTTTGTAATTATAGTACCGAATACTTAATTCTAGTCCGTACAACTTCCTCACGAGCATTCGAGACATATCGATATGAATTCATAACTTTATTTGTAGGTAACAATCAGTTACCTACTAACTTCTACTAAGTAGGTCTAGAGTGGGCTGCAGCTGATGCGTTTTCCACCTCTGATACCACCATGGTATTAGGGTAAAAATAAGAATTCTTACGTCATTTACTTATTCATCGTCATAATATTAAATTCGTTTCAGCCGAATGACGTCCACTGCTGGACAAAGGCCTCCCCCAAGGATTGCCATAACGACCGGTCCTGCGCCGCCTGACCACTAGATCATCGGTCCATTAAATGGGGGCCTGCCCACACTACGTCTTCTGGCCCGTGGTCGCCACTCGAGAACTTTTCTGCCCCAAAGGCCATCAGCTCTGCGAGCTATGAGTATGTGTCCCGCCCTCTTATTAAATTAGTAGACCAATATACTATCTCTAATCAAATGCAAAGAATAAGTGGTATGCTTGAAAAGACTTACGGCAATCTGCAGTTAGAATACATTCGTCGGTGATCCTATCACGGTGACGGTTAAACCCGCAGACACACCCCGGTAAACATTCTATGGGTTCTGGACATGTTTGCGGAGCGTATTCTGATAATGGACAGTATTCTGCGTCACATCCCACTGGTGCGCAGCTGGATAAAGTTTCGCCGTCTGCGCATGCTGAAACATTGCATTTTCGACTTTAAGGCCTATTCAAACCTGAGCGATATTCGCTGCCGCTGTGGGTAGAGGTACATACCGCGCGGGTTTCGCTCAGGTATTAAAGGTTCGGCTAAACCAACGCGATCACACGCGATCAGCCGGCGTGCAGCGATGGCGACCAGACTTGAATGCATTGATCGCCATCGCTGCACGCCTGCTGATCGCGTGTGATCGCGTTAGTTTGGCTGAACCCTTAGTATCAAGTATCGCGGCTAGAGCGACCTGAGCGATATTCGCTGCCGCTGTGGGTAGAGGTACATAGGTAGACGGTAGCGAATACCGCTTAGGTCTGAACAGTATTATTACCGCATACCCACTGGGTTTTCTCTGCCGCAGACGGTAGCGAATACCGCTTAGGTCTGAATAGGCCTTTATTTTAAAGAATACCTACTTATTTTACCTGCTCAATCTCAGAGTTGTAAAAAACAATGAAAATTGAATAAAAATATTTCCTAAATACATAAATACCTCCTACCTATTTCCCTAATGCCCGAGTTATAAAAACAATGCAATTGAATACTAAATATTTTATATACTCACGGCTTTCGTCGCATGATGCTGAATTGGTGTAGAAAACCAAGACTAAAACTACAAGAAACTTAAATTGTACTGCCATCTTCCGTTTTAATGCTATGTGCTACACGAGTGTCTGCCCAAACACGACTACTGAAGTGCTGGTAGATAAATCAGAACCATTAAAACTGTATTTGATTGTATTTTATATGCTACGGCTTTTATATGTATACTAAATTTAATGTAAATGTAAATGTAAAACAGTAGCCTGAATAGACGAAATGAACTAACTGAATCCAAAGTCAATACGTTGTTCCGTCACGATCAAGACAGTCAATTTTAAAGGTGAGGTGAACGGCCATTATGGTACCGAGTTGCACTGGTTGTACAGAGTAGGGATGTTATGGATATGTAGTTTCGGATATAGGAATAATATTATACCGGTTTCGGTTACGGTTACGGATATTTTTTTATTTCGGATATCCGAAAGTTTCGGTTACAGTTACGGATATCTGGGCTTTAGAATGCAATTTGCAATAGTTGTCCAACACGGTTCATTCATGGCCGCACATTACATCGAATAAAAAGTAATAAAAAAATAAAAATTGATACTAGATGTCATTATAAAGGTAAATCAGGCTGTTATGCCTTTACAAAAAACAATTTCAACTACATTCGAAACTATCTGAAACTTTTGAATCGGTTACGGTTTCGGATATTTTTTTATTTCGAATATCCGAAAGTTTCGGTTACGGTTACGGATATCCATAACATCTCTGGTACAGAGTTGTACATGGGTAGGTTTTTGATGTTATATTACGCATACATTTTTTATGCACGACAAGGCAGGTAATTGACCGCAATCGCACCATTGAGATGCAGTCAATTTATTACAATAAGGAATATTATACAGCCAAAATGAGAATGATGCGGCAATTCTTAAATAGTAGTTAATTTTTTTATTATAAAATCTCTGATAAAGTAAAAAGGAACGCTAAAAGTGAATAATTATGTTTGAAAAGGTTTTATAATATTATGTTAAAAATAAATTAATCAATAACACTGTTCAGTGTAGTTCATCTATAAACGAAGATGAACTACACTGAACTGTCCCACCAAACTCATTGACAGGGACTAGGGAGGCGCCTCGTTTAACTACTTATACAGGGTGTGGTTTTGTAAAACAACACCCATCTCAGGGGTGGTAGTTACACATGAATGTTATTACAGGAAAAATATAATTAAAGTTTTAACTATTCATCATCATCATCTCAGCCATAGGACGTCCACTGCTGAACATAGGCCTCCCCCAATGCTTTCCATGTTACCCGGTTGGTAGCGGCCTGCGTCCAGCGCTTTCCTGCTACCTTTAACTATTACCTTGTTAGTAAAAACCTTGTTCAAACGTCTCCTAAAACATAATAGACGGCGCTTGTTACCGCCCGCACCAACCCCGCGTACCCCGCTACACCATCGAGCATATGCGACCGCTGCCCCGAGAGAGAAAGGACTGACCGATAGCTCGCCCGCGTAATGATGTACCATTTTCTAATTTCATGGATTTTTCCATGAAAATGTATGGTCGTTTTTATATTTTATTATTATTTTTTTGCATCAGTGGCCTACTACCAGCCCTGAGATTTGCGTTGTTTTACAAAACCACACCCTGTATATTCTGCAATAACAAAATTTTAATTGTAACGTCTCAGAAGGTGCTTTGTAGTGATTACGTAGATCGTACTATGTCGTGAGCGTATTATGATCATGCAGCTTAATTTGGTAATTAATTATTCACGTAACTTGTTAGAAGTGGATACAGGAATGTTACGGGGTTTTCATTAAAATAAATTAAACCAAATTATTATAAAACTTTATTTCAGCCAAAAGCTTAGAATTTCTAGAAGATAGTACCTATCTGTTGATACACATTGATTTACTGAAGTTAGAATGGATAATGGAATGAACATGGTTACTATGGTCTTATAAAAGTTTGCCTTACTCATATGGCAGCAGAACACAACAAGAAAGTATTTGTTTAAAAATAGCAGAAGACTTTACTCGGGAGAACATAGATTTAGATATCTGTATTTTAATCAAGTTACAATTTACAGTAAATTCTTTATTACGGTTTGTTCTGAAGGAAAACAAAGATGATTTATGACTCACTGACATTAATATTATTGAAAGAAAAAGGATAAGTACTGGAATTATAAAAACATACAAAATTATAAAAATAACCAAAAACAGTCTCAATAGCTATTTAACAACTAAACTCCTCAACAACTTTCGTCGCACTGATCTTGAGGGATGCAGGTACCATTCTTGGCTCTCAAGAACGATTTTTTGCAAACGCAGCCCCCTTTACAAGTAGTTTTGTCATATTTTGGACAAGTAATTGTAATGTCTTTGTCAACACACTTCTGGGGGCGACACAAACCATTGATGCAGGTCGAGTATTCTTCATTCACTTTACATGTTTGTTCTGAAAGAAATGAATATAAAAAAATATAATTAAATAAGATACTCTTGCATACAAAATAGATAAAACAGTTGATAGGAAAATATTATTTGCAGACAACATATTATTATGTTTGAAATGAAAATATGAATGGCAGTCAACAATAATGTCATAAAATAAATTAAAGAATTATAAAACAGAAGAATTAATAAAATGTACACTTAATTTCCATGTAATATTTCTCATATTTTATCAAATGAAATGAAATAGTTTATTCAGTACGTAGGCCCTTTCCAGGGCACATAAATACACGTCCCAAATATAGCTTGCCCTACCACCACTTCGGGACAACATAAAATATGGGATGGTAATGAGAAGAAGTGGCGGAAGAAACTCAAACAAAACTTTTAAACTTACCTTTGCACTTGTTTTTCGAAATGCATATTCCTTGTGAATTTCTGTAGTAGCCCTTTAAGCATCTACACGCTGGTTTACAAGGTACCACGATGCCAATCCTAAATTTAGGGCATGTCGCATTTTTCAAATAGTCAGTACAAGTTTCTCCAGGGCAAACTGGCGGACAGGATTGGTATTTTTCATTTGGACCATCACAGGGGAATGGAGCTGAAACAAAAACGGTACTATAGGTCGTTCAACGAAAATCGAGGCGAAGATCACACTGATGTAACATTTATATCATACAGAACACAAATAACACATTACACATTCAAGTTCAAAATTATGTCAAATACATTACCACGCTCTTTTTAAAAAATGTCTGAAAGTGAGACACACAAGCACTTGTTAGTCCGACTACGCAAGATTATCATCGCCGACAGCGGTTGAAATTTTCACAGTTCAATCTATTCGTTGAGCGACCTATGCTTTTACCAAAGTTTGGTAAAAGCATATTAAATCGCTCATAATGTTTTCAATAAATGATTTCTAAAACACATGGTTTAAGTTATGGACCAAGTTAAGTTAGTACTTACGACATTGAGCTGTAGCTATACATTTTCCGGTTTTCCTGTTCCGGTGTCTATTGAATCCACACACACATCTTGGTGAAGGGCATTTTTTGGGGATTGGACATGTTAGAGACGAGTTCCTAGATTTAGGACAATATTCTGCATCACATTTTATTGGTGGACAAGTGGATAAAATTTCACCCTCTGGACACGCTGGAATCATAGACATAGTCATATTAATTATCATAAAATAACTTTCATTTGCTGAACATTCAAATAATTATGGCCTTTGTCCCTCTGGCAGGGTGCGATCTAGGTGGAGATTGAATTTCTAAGATTGATTGAAAAGACAGAATTCTTAGTCAGCTTTCGTAAAGTTGCTATTTGTGTATACGTGTGTGTGTACATTGTATATTGTTAGCAAATAATATTTTAAGATGGTAACTTGTAATGAAGAATGTGAAGTTTTTAATGTATATTCTTCTATATAGCAAATGTATTTTTCTAAGATTTAGGAACACTAATTATAAGGATCTGGAAATAAAAATATTTTGAAATGTTTAGTAAAGTGTTTTATTGTTCGTCATTGTGTCCAAGCGCTTATTAATCACATTAGTAGTTCAATTTGTCCTATGTTGTAAGTGTATGTGTATCGTTTGTGAATGTTTGAAAGTGTCAAGTAACTCTTCATCATTACTCACTCTGTTCACACTGGTCTTCAGGCACACATGTGCCGTTCTGAGCTCTCAGATAACCCTTTTGGCAAATACATCCAGGAGTACAGGTATCATCAGATATCAATGGGCAGTTCAAAATTTTGCCTTTGTCAGCACAGCTTTGGCCGCAAGCACTATTGGCACATGTTGAGAATACTTCATTCACTTTGCATGTTGGTGCTGGAAAAAAAATCTAACTTATATTTTTGTTTTCACGTCCAATATTATAAAATGTCCAGATATAAAGAGCCAATTTACTTGTGTACCATTTGCCACAATTTCACTCCTTTCATAATCACTATCCCAATTCCCATCACTACTAGCACCACCATCATCATCACCATAGAACGTCTACTGCTTTAGCCCTTTCTTTATACTTGTATCTATACATATAGATACAAGCGCCATGCTTCCAGCAAGGTTCTGTCATTTTTATCAGTTCGTCATAAATACCGTCACAGTGCCCTTGACAACTAGCTGAATTATTAAAGATGTAAGATGTAAAAAAAGAATATTATACTAACTGCATTTCTCTGGCAAAACGCATTTATTCAAGTTGCCATCGAACACATAACCTGGTTTGCAGTCGCAACCGTTCAAGTTGCAAATGAGGGGGCATACTATAGGATCTGTTCTGTTGTAAGTATCACAAGTGTTGCCACAATGCACTCCACATCCAGGGACGGCGTTCTCATCACCTCCACATGAAGCTGTGAAAAATATTATTAGCAATAAGTATACGAGTATACTTGGTAATTTTACACAATTACTTCTAGCCCCATCTCTCCAAGCGTATACAGATGACAGCATTTCACTTACTCTGCTCTTCACACTGATTTTCAAGCACACATGTGCCATTCTGAGCTCTCAGGTAACCGTTTTTGCAAACACATCCCGCAGTACATGTATCGTCAGATATCAATGGACAGTGTACAATTTTGCCTTTGTCTGCACAGTTCTGGCCGCACCTACCATTAGCACAGGTTGAGTACTCTTCATTCACTTGGCATGTTGGTGCTGAAAAATAATTATTGAGCTACATTTTGTTTTTGATTACCGAACCCTTTATTTTGATTACTCGGCGTGAAATATTGCATATTTAATTAGAGAGTAGCGTCATTTTAGTTGTGGAACAATGACTGAGATTCTATCCATTTTATAATTATAATCATCACCACCACAATCATCATCATCATTACCACTTTCACCGTCACCACTACCAACATCATCACAATCATCACCTTTATCAAAAATGTCTATTGCTTCAGTTCATCCCTTAGTTTCGGAACAACTGGACACAGACAAGCGCCTTGCAGCAGCAGGATTAGGATCCATGATGGCCTACCATCATATTAAATTTTAGATGTTAGATGTAAAACAAGGACAGAATAGGTAGCGAGCCTCTAGCCTGAGGCGGAGCTGCGGACAAAATGTCCAAGCTAGGACAATAATTCGCGGCTCCGTTTCATTGGGCTCTGGTGGACACCGTATGGTTTTAGTGGGTAGGCCCCGCCTTTAGTGAGCAGGGGGGGAGAGTCCCATATCATAACCCACTGGCCGTCCCCATCGACCAGTGGGTATGCACAAAGCATTTCTCGACATTAAAAAAAAGGTACTTACAGCAATTCTTTGGCAAAACACATTTTTTCACGTTGCCATCGTACACGTAACCTTTCTTGCAGTCGCAGCCGTTCAGGTTGCAAATGAGCGGGCACGCTATATCTGTGCGGTTGTAGGTGGTACAAGTGTTGCCACAATGTCCTCCACACCCTGGGACAGCGTTATCGTCACCACCGCATGAAGCTGTGTAAAAAGAATTTATAAATGGAAGTGGGAATTGCACACAATGCCTTTTAGTCCCATCTAAGCCCCTAAGGTGGTATGGTGATCGTGTAGATTGAAAGTTTAGTCGGGTTGTTAATCAGTATGAACAAGAGTATCAAAGTAAGTAGGGGAGAGTTCGGTATATTGTACCGCCGGGTAAATTGTACCACCCTCATATTTCGTAAAGTATTTATTAAATGTCTGTAATTGCAACACTCAGCGATACACAACTAAAATCAATTAATATCGGCCATGTGGTTTTTGCCGTGACAACAAACACGTGTGTTTTATTTTGAAAAGTATTTTTTCATTGTTTTCAAGTAACTTTTGACAATACATGTTTAGTTTGTAATTTTGTTAAATTTAATCACAGGGTGTTTCTAATATATTATTTAGAAGCGTAAATTAGTGTGGATTACAATTATTTGAAACATTTTTCGGTATTTATAAGCTATATTTTTTACCAATTTTTTAAAAGCTCTATCACCTAGTCGGCTAAATTGTACCACATCAAGTTGTATGGAACTTTACCAAAGGATTTTGAATTTTTTTTTAGTAAATCATATTTTGAAGTTATAATAGCGTAGTTATGTTTGACTAACAGTAAATGAAAGCAAAAGACTGGCAAAGTAGATTAGGAACAAGTGTGCGTTACGATAATTGGAATTACAAAACTTGTACTCAAAATCGTGATAACGTGTTAAACAATATCGATTGTCTATGTTGTTAACTACTGTTCCTTTTCGTTTTCTAATTTGTTAAGAATGTATCGTATAATATTTTGCCATAGTTTTTTTATAGGCTTGAAATTTATTGAAATCCAATTTAGTAACCCTGTGGTACAAATTATCGAACCGGTTGGCTAAATTGGACCGAAGCTCTGAACTCGTACTTTGTTGATTTGTGCTAAATATACAACAATCATGTTAATTAATACTTATGAAATAGTAAGTTGAATAATGTATCTTTTAGTATATACCATGGACATTAGCAAAAACAAAAGAAAACTATGTGTAAAATGGGATTGAAAAAAACTGGTCCAAATTACCGGACTCTCCCTTACATTACACCGATTTGGTCTCAGCTGATTCCTCATAAAAATTAGGAGGAGCTGACCAAACTATTATCTGTAGTTGGACTATTAGTATAAAAATGTACTTACGACATTCTTTTTGTGGAATACAAATTCCTTTATCATTTCTCAAGTAACCAGGATTGCATAAGCATCCGGGGCCCGAAGAGCATGGCCCAACGCCGGGGCCCACAATAGGGCATGGTACTGGGAACCCAGCTTCCTTGCAGGTTTTAGGTTCACAAGTACCAGCGGGGCATTCTGAGAGGTATTCGTTTTCCTTGCATTTTACTAAAAGGAAAAGTTATTGTGAAGAGATTTGACAAAAGTATTAACACTTTCCCGGACAGTAACCCAGACACAATAGAAGTTTAATTGTTAAGACGGCTATAGCAGTTTACTGTCCAGGAAAGTGTTAATATTAGTAATTAATATTGAATTTCAGGTCCATTTATATTGGTACCAGGCCAGTGCAATTCCAGTGGTTGGTAAAAATTTTACGGTTAAAGATATTTTTTTTCTCAAAATATACGTGTGCAATATTTTTTGATATTAAAATTGACTGACTAAAATTTTTTTTTTGGAAACAGGCCTATTCCTTCTAGGCTTATCTCTCCAAGCTTGTACGGATGATAGTACTTCACTTACTCTGCTCTTCACACTGATTTTCAAGCACACATGTGCCATTCTGAGCTCTCAGGTAACCCTTTTTGCAAACACATCCAGCAATACAGGTATCGTCAGATATCAATGGACAGTGTACAATTTTGCCCTTGTCTGCACAGTTCTGGCCGCACACACTATTAGCGCAGGTTGAGTATTCTTCGTTCACTTGGCATGTTGGTGCTGAAAAAAATAATTATTGAGCTACATTTTGGTCTTGATCATGAAACCCCTTATTTTGATTACTCTAACAATCCCAGTGTTCGACTCAAAGCGTGAAATATTGCATATTTAATTAAATAGCAGCATTTTAGTTGTGGAACAGCGGCTACGTTTCTTCGCAGAATTGTAACCGCTGTTGTCTACTGCTTCAGTTCATCTCTTAGTTTCAAAACGACTGGACACAGACAAGCGCCTTGCAGCAGCAGGATCCTACCATCATAATTATTAAATTTTTAGATTTTAGATGTAAAATAAAATAAGGATAAAGATAAAGTACTTACAGCAATTCTTCGGCAAAACACATTTTTTCACGTTGCCATCGTACACGTATCCTTTCTTGCAGTCGCAGCCGTTCAGTTTGCAAATGAGGGTGCACACTATATCTGTGCGGTTGTAGGTGGTACAAGTGTTTCCACAATTTCCTCCACATCCTGGGACAGCATTATCGTCGCCACCGCATGATGCTGTGTTAAAAGAATAGTTCAGATAAATATCTTCGGGAATTTCACACAATGCCTTCTAGTCCATCTAAGCAAAGGTGGCATGGAAATCCTGTGTGTAAAACGAATAAAGTAGTTTTTATAAAATAGCATATTTAGTATTATTTGTATGATGTTAATCAGTGTTTTCTTGATTTGCTGTGGTTCATTCAAAGGTGATATGACATAGAGTCCTCGCGGAGTACAAAATTTATGACAATTTAATTGGATTGTTAATCAGTAGGTATGAACAAGCATGAAAATAAGCACACGACACCCATTTGGTCTTCGACGAAAGTATTGACCGATAAAAAGTTTGTAGTCTCCAGGGACTCTTAGTATAAAAATGTACTTACGACATTCTTGCTGTGGAACACAAATTCCTTTATCATTTCTCAAGTAACCAGGATTGCATAGACATCCGGGGCCTGAAGAGCAAGGTCCAACGCCGGGGCCTACTGTAGGGCATGGTATTGGGAACCCAGCTTCTTTGCAGGTTTTAGGTTGGCACGTACCAGCGGGACATTCTGAGAGGTATTCGTTTTTCTTGCATTTTCCTAAAAGGTAAATAAATTTATATTGTGAAAAGAGGTGAAAAAAGTGTTAGACTTGCTACAAAAAGCCTTCGTATTAGAACTGCTTTGAATTTAATATTGAATCAAACACAGATTTAACTGACCACTGATTACTTGGGTCGTTATCGATTTTATATTTGCAACGCATACCCTTGGTACCAATGGTGTGTTGTGTGTATTTCAAGTAAACTCAGAATCGCGTTTTGCCAGTTCTTAAATATTCTGTAATTTGATAGATTTGATGTACCGTGAAGGCTGCAGGTGTGTTTCATGTCTCACAAATTAAATAAACACAGCCAAGGTCTCACCAAAAAGGTGTTTTTCGATGAGAGAAATTTTAATTCTTAATAGGTATAACGCCAATTAAAGAAGGCAAACAAATTGCAACTGAAGCTTGTTGTCAAGTCATGGTAAAAATACGGGAGGTTAGCAACGAGCTGCCTGATCAACAAAATACAGGTACCTACTTATAATTTGCATACATTAATTTATTTTGTTAAACAAGTGTTTCAATAGTCGCAGAACATTATCATAGTGTGCTTTCCACTGACGTACCATCTGTGTATTTGTCTATTATAATGTTTTCCATATGTTATAGGTTAGCTCAAGTGGTTAGCTTAGTTAACTGAAATAAACAAAGTAATAAATTACATTATTTTTAAATACCTACCTATTAAGAAACACGTGCAAGTTAAGATCAAGTGACTCACATTTTACATTTAAAATTAAATATTCTAAGGGCTGATTTTTCAATCGTCGGATAACTTTTAACTGAAGAATAAGTTTGGCACGTTGACAGTTTCAATATGGAAAATATGTCAAAGTGACAAGTTTATTCTTCAGTTAAAAGTTATCTGACGATTGAAAAATCGGCCCTAACTCGATTACTTTTAGTTTATATCAAAAATTAGGTAATTCAAAATGTGTGTGTAACGAACGAGTGATGACATGTGATACTAGGTATTCTGTGAATTTCTGTGATTATCAGTAAATTTTGTTCTGCGGATTGCTCTAAAGAAATCTATCAAAGCAGATATTTGTCTCACTGGTAGATTTTATTCTGTGATTGATCATAATATTGAAATAGAACCAAATAGAAGCCTCAATTTACGTTTGAATTAGAATCCAGTTTACACCTAGTCCTTTATTTTCACGAAAACTCTATTGATATTGATATTAGTATAAACCTTGAACATACTTGGACACTTCTCTATCGGTACACAGGTGTCGTTGTCAAACGATGCTCTCAGGAACCCTTCTTTGCATTCACATTGTGGTATGCACTGGAAAGTGTCTCTACATAGAGGAGGTATGTCAAGATCACTACAGTAGTGTTTCAGGCATCCATCGCGACCACATTTGGAAAATTCTTCGTTCGCTTTGCATTTTGGAGGAGGATCTGTGGAAAAAGGGTTTCTTTGACTAAGGGAGTGCACTTATAGATGCGGGATAAGCCTGAGCCAGTAAAAAGAGCTATTTAATAGAAATTATCAAGAGGAATGCATCTATCAAGAAAAGGACGTAAATTTTTGTTTGAGCCAAATAACGTCCACTGCTGGTAATTCGTTTCAGCCAAACGACGTCCACTGCTGGACAAAGGCTTCTCCCAAGGTTTTCCACAATGAATGCTGCCCGCATCCAGGCTCTTCCCGCGACCTTTACCAGATCGTCCACCTAGTAGAAGGCCTGCTGGTATCAATTTGGCGCATTTGGATTAGTCTGGTGTTGGATTTTTGGCTTCTGAGTCTAATATAAAACCAAATGTACCATCAATTTTTGCATTAATTCGAGCAGATCAATTTATTAAAATGCACTACATGCTTACCACATTTTTCGCTTGGGACGCAAGTTCCGTTTTTGGCTCTCAAGAATCCTGGTGCGCAAATACATCCTGACTTACACACTTTAGGGTGCACACACACTACTGGCTTGTTGATATCTGAACATTTTTGCTTGCCACATCCACCGTTAACGCAATCGCTGAATACTTCGTTCTGCTTACATTGAGGTGCTACAACATTTTGTTTTCATTGAAAATTCCATAATTTTACTTTTCCAACATCTTGAAGATCAACCACAATTGAGTGGAGTAAAAAAAAAACTGGTGTTTTATGTATTAAGAATGGGGTAGGGTGGGTATGTTGCAAATAAAAAAGACGGATTTGGAAAGACGAAGATCAGGAAAAAAAAATATAAAGACAAAGGATTGAATTCAGTTTTAATAGAATATTATTTTATTTATAACAGTTGCCAAAAATTTATAAAATGACCAAGTCAACATAATATAAAATCACAATACATGATGATGTTATATCTAATGGAATTGAATTTAGGAAAAGTTTGATTATAAGGTTCAAATTCAATTGGGGAAGCTTGGAAGTTGTATTATGCGCAGTACATTCTTTTACGACAATATTACTTACTGCAGTCTTCGGGCAGCACGCACTTTTTCAGATTATCATCATAGTAATAGTCTCTGCCGTTTATGTCGGATCTGCAGTCACAAGCGTTGGAGTAGCAGATCAAGATGCAAGCTTTTGGTTCAGTCTGGTTTACGTTGGAGCAGTGCCTGTTGCAGTTGACTCCGCAGCCGAGGGTTGCGTTCTTGTCACCACCACAGGATGCTGTGTAAGAAGAACAGGTGTAATTTTTAGTCCAGTATAGTAGAGGACTTGAAGGAAGTACTAGAAAGGTCGTTCTGAGAATATTATGATTGTGACAGAGTGCTGGTTATCTATCTATACTTATAATAAATCTGTAGAGAGGTCAATTCTGTACATGAAATATATTTTCAAAATAACTATCAGGGGGTGATTAGTGATCGATACTGATGCAACCAGTAAAATTTTTGTCTGTCTGTCTGTCTGTCTGTATGTTCCTTATAGAAACAAAAACTACTTGACGGATTTTAACGAAACTTGGTACAATTATTCTTCATACTCCTGGGGAGGTTATAGTCATGAAGCTAAAGATAAAAATGGAGGGCAAACTTGGAACAAAAACTTGAGTCAAATACCTACTTATATCTATCTCGCTCTCTGTGGCCCTACCTCTCTTTTTAGTGTGAACTGTAGTATTGCTATCTCCTGATTTAAATCTCCTAGTAAATTCTTCGAAATAGCCAATTCACTAACCAAATCATAAGTTAAACAAACAAATAATTAAATATTTGAACTACGATTACCTAGTTGAATTAAAAATCACAAAATTGTCGGCCGTTTAGGTTTAATGTGTTGGCGAATCAGGGAATTTCCTGGGGAATCGGTACCATGTGGCAACATCGGCCCAATCCGGCCCATCATGGCGGTTGTTTACTATTTTGTTTATTATGCAGTTAATTTCGTTTGAGATTGTTTACAGGAAATAATCATTGTTTTATCACAAGAAATGATGCAAAATTTTGTAGTGCGTGGTTGCGGTAGTACGTGGTGTCCTGGAAGTGACATAAGATTCCACGCGTAAGTGTTTATTTCGTGATTTCCGACATTGGATCATTGTAAACATTTTTCACATTTTTTACTGTAATTTCTTCTTAACGTTTTACCAGTATTTACACTTATCATTTTTAATGATACCTATGTCAAGAAATAAAGATTTTGCATTGAGTTTCATTGAATTTGAGCAAATTTATATTTTTTGTTTATTTAGAAAGAGAGAGTCTGCCCACAGAGAGCGAGATAGTGATACATAGTTTGTGCTTCAAGTAGGTATTCGGAGTCTGGCCTCCATTTTTATCTGTAGCTTCATGGTTATAGTATACTTAGGAATTCACACGGGAACGGGAATTAGCGGTAAAATCCTTTTGTATGAAAAATCTAAACCGCTTAAGTTAGACGCTTGAAATTTGGCATGCAGGTACCTTAGTAAACTTAAAGCTTAGTTACAACAGGATATTGCAAAATTCCCACGGGAACGGGAGTTAGCGGGAAAAAACATTTGTATGAAAAAATCTAAACCGCGTAAGATAGATGAAGGGGGTAAAACGGGTTCCACGCGTACGAAGTCGCGGGCGGCCGCTAGTCTAGAATAAATCTCGTGAATAAAATGTCAATGTTTGTTTATATTAACTAAAGATCTGACGAATGTTTTTTTCCACTATAGTTACTATTACTTATTCTGTGCTATAGTCTACAACCATAATGGGCTTTATAATCACAAGTTCGGTGATAAATATTTGGACGGCAAGTTGTGGTGGTCATATAGAAGATTGAGTAGAATTTGTTATATTGTATGTGGCATGTGCTTGTTAATAAATTCTTCCATCGATGAATATGAGCCTTAAGGTCTTTTCATATTTTGCTCACTATCCTCATGATAGCCTGTAGGGAACTTATCTGTCATTCTGATTACTTCATAGCTCTGGCGATAATAATATCTGATAATCTGATGTTAAAGTCACTAGTTTTTTACTTACGGCATTCGTTCGATTGAATACATCTGCCATTTTCGTCCCTCAAATAGCCGTCCCTGCAGACACACCCTGGCTTCCCTGGACAAGGGGCTCCATCTTCTCTGGGGGTACAATTCTTGGGGAATCCAGCTTCGTCACAGGTTTTAGGACCGCACAGAGTTTCTGGACACGGGTCGTATCTCTCGTTTGTGGGACACACTGTTAAAAAATACAATTTGAAACCTCCGCTTGATGTTTTGTTTTTTTACGAACATTTTTTCGCCAATACTGGTAAATTGCCAGGTTTTAACTGAGATTCTTTAAAGTAAGACGGACGAATAATCCAGACAACTGAGGAAGTTACTTTATAACTTTTATTATATCCTTGAAGAATTGATTTGGTATAAAATTAAATATGTTACAAAAAGCCTAAATTTAATGATTGTTTTACTAGCCTGGGCAGTCTTTGATGGGTATACATTCTCCTTTGTAGTCTCTCGCGTAGCCTTCCTCGCAGTAGCACATTTCGTTGCACTTCACGTTTATAATCGGGCAATTAGTTTGATTTTGTTCCTTTATAGTATCGCATACGTTGTCACAAGCACCGCCGCATGAGTAGAACTCGTGAGGACCAGTACATCTCGCTGAAGGAAAAAAAGATAAATAAATTAAAATAGATTAGCGCCTGTGTTGAATTTACATTTTTTTTATGAACATTTTTATAAGTATATAAATAGGTACTTGTCTACGCACTACATGGTCACGAACTAAATGGTCTAAGTTTGGATTACCAGAGTCAATAATAATTCAATTTATTACACACTCCACTCGTTAATTTTTTTTTCTACTACACTATCGAAACAACACTTACAGCACTCTTCGGCAGAAATACATTGCCCAATTTTGTTTCTGTAGTATCCTTTCTTACACCGACAGCTGGGATTACAGCCAGGCCCGGTGTTGTTGGCTGGTCTCAGAGGGCAGTGGTAAATAGCATTCATTGTCTCGCAGGTCTGCGGCGAACAATCAGGGCATTTGTCGTAGACTTCATTTGTTCCGCAATTCGGTACCTTTGGTGCTGGAAAGTGACATCAGATTAATCTCTAGGCAGCCTTATGCGAGTTGCAGACTAAGCTATTTTTCATAGTTGTGTGCAAACTTTACAAATACATACTAAGGACAACTGCGGCTTTTATGCGAGCTAAGCGTAACTGACCTAGCTAGCTTAACTTTTGTTCTACATTCTGTTTCTGTTTCCAAAACTGACCTAAGGTTCTCCTTTTCTACAATGTTGTGAAAATTCTTAACCTTTCCGCTTATTTTGATAGATATGAAGATTCAGGAAGTCGTTGAGTCTTTGGCATAGACCAGATAGATCCCCCTTTTGTAACGTATTTTCTACAAAAAGGGGATCTTTAATCAGTTTCTTGTCATTCATTGATTAAAAAGGTTTTTTACTACACAGTGCACAGTACTTACGACATTGCTTCCTTGGAATGCAAACTCCATTGGCATCCCTCGCGTAACCATCAATGCATCGGCACCCCACTACGCAATCCTTGTCTCCCGGATTGGGTGGTGCTGCACACCTTATGAGTCTAGGGTCAACGTCGCATCGTCTGAGAGGGCATGGTGTGTCGCAAGGGTCATACTGTTCGTTGGCAGGACAAACAGCTGCAAGAAATAAGATGAAGAAATTATATTTCGATATTTTGATGGGAAACCGTCTCTCGGTAACATAAAACCAGGTTTCCACTAAAGCGGAGCGGAGCAGAGAAGTGTGTCCAATCCACAGATCACAGAAACTAAAGGGAGATGTGACAAGGGGGCGTGGCCGGTGTCGCAGCAATATGAACAAAAATCACATTGCTCGTGAAAGCAATGATGACAGCAGCAACGTCATAACGTAAACAGCTTACATTGCTTGCGTAGTACGAAATATTATTCGAACGTCGAGTACTGATACCGCAGTGGATAATGAGCACATATTTTGATTTCTTTGTGTGTGTGAATTTCTAATGCGACACTAAGCGCTCCTGCACACGACGCCGCGCACCTACACTGTTCATACGAGCCGAGTAAAGACCGCCGCCGCGCCGCCACCCCGTTGTCAAATCATAATTATTTCGCTGGCGGCACGGCGGCGGCGCGGCGGCGGCGCGGCGGCGGCGTCGTGTGCAGAAGCACTAAGGCTGAGTTGCACCACCAAACTTTGACCGTAACTATAACGATAACCGGTGCTTTTTGTAGACAGTTTGACAGATTTTTGACCCAGCCTAAGTTTACTTTTTCAGCATCTTGAAGATAAACCACAATTGAGTGGAGTAAAAAAACTGGTGTTTTATGTATTAAGAATGGGATAGGGTATGTTGCGAATAAAAAAGACAGATTTGGAAAGACGAAGATCAGGAAAAAAATATGAAGACAAAGGATTGAATTTAGTTTTAATGGAATATTATTTTATTTATAACAGTTGCCGAAAATTTATAAAATGACATTTCAACATAATATAAAATCACAATACATGATGATGTTATATCTAATGGAATTTAATTTAGGAAACGTTTAGATTATAAGGTTCAAATTCAATTGGGAGAGCTTGGAAGTTGTATTATGCGCAGCACATTCTTTACGACAATATTACTTACTGCAGTCTTCGGGCAGCACGCACTTTTTCAGATTATCGTCATAGTAATAGTCTCTGCCGTTTATGTCGGATCTGCAGTCACAAGCGTTGGAGTAGCAGACCAAGATGCAAGCTTGCGATTCAGTCTGGTTTACGTTGGAACAGTGCCTGTTGCAGTTGACTCCGCAGCCGAGGGTTGCGTTCTTGTCACCACCACAGGATGCTGTGTAAGAAGAACAGGTTTAATGTAGTCCAGTATAGTAGAAGATTTGAAGGAAGTAATAGAAAAATCGTTCTGAGAATATTGTGACACAGTGCTGGTTATCTAGAAAAAATCTCGTGAGCAAAATGTCAATATTTAAATTAACTGAAGATCTGACGAGTGTTTTGTCCATTATAGTCTACAACCTTAATGGGCTTCGTAACGACAAGTTTGGTGAGAAATATTTGGATTGCAAGTGGTAAAGGTAACATAGTCTTAAAGAAGATTGAGTAGAATTTGTTATTCTATCTGGCATGTGCCTGTATCTGATGAATATGCCTTAGCGTTCTTTTTCACATTTTGCTCATTATCCTCTTGAAAGTCTGTTGGATACTCATCTGTCAGAAGATAAACTACAACATTTTACTTCTTAGCTCTGGAGATAATAAATATGTTACAGCCACCGGTTTTTTACTTACGGCATTCATTCGATTGAATACATCTGCCATTTTCGTCTCTTAAATAGCCGTCCCTGCAGACACACCCTGGTTTCCCTGGACAAGGGGCTCCATCTTCTCTGGGGGTACAATTCTTGGGGAATCCAGCTTCGTCACAGGTTTTAGGACCGCACAGAGTTTCTGGACACGGGTCGTATCTCTCGTTTGTGGGGCACACTGTTAAAAAATACAATTTGAAAACTCCGCTTGATGTTTTGTTTTTTTTACGAACATTTTTTCGCCAATACTGGTAAAATTGCCAAGTTTTAACTGAGATTCTTTAAAGTAAGACGGACGAATAATCCAGACAACTGAGGAAGTTAGGTAGGTACTTTATAACTTTTATATATCCTTGAAGAATTGATTTGGTATAAAATTAAATATGTTACAAAAAGCCTAAATTTAATGATTGTTTTACTAACCTGGGCAGTCTTTGATGGGTATACATTCTCCTTTGTAGTCTCTCGCGTAGCCTTCCTCGCAGTAGCACATTTCATTGCACTTTACGTTTATAATCGGGCAATTAGTTTGATTTTGTTCCCTTATAGTATCACATACGTTGTCACAAGCACCGCCGCATGAGTAGTACTCGTGAGGACCAGTACATCTCGCTGAAGGAAAAAAAGATAAATAATTAATAAATTAAAATAGATTAGCAACTGTGTTGAATTTAAATTTCGTTTTTTTTATGAAAATTTTTATAAGTATACAAATAGGTAACGAGAGGGAGAGAGGAATGAGAAATATTCGGTTCGCGAGCAAACATCAGTGAGCAGAAATTTTAAACACTCACTACATGGTCACGAACTAAATGGTCTATGTTTTGATTACCAAAGTCAATAATAATTTAATTTATTACACACTCCACTCGTTATTTTTTTACCACTACACTATCGAAACAACACTTACAGCACTCTTCGGCAGAAATACATTGTCCAATTTTGTTTCTGTAGTATCCTTTCTTACACCGACAGCTGGGTTTACAGCCAAGCCCGATGTTGTTGGCTGGTCTCCGAGGGCAGCGGTAAGTAGCGTTCATTGTCTCACAGGTTTGCGGTGAACAGTCCGGGCACGGGTCGTAGACTTCATCAGGTCCGCAATCCAGTACCTTTGGTGCTGGAAAGTGATCAGATAAATCTCTAGGCAGCCTTATGCGAGTTGCAGTCTAAGAGCTAAGTTAAGTTAGTTTAGCTTGACTCGCAGTTTTCTATAGTTGTATGTAAACTATACAAACACTATGGACTGCGGCCGCTATAGCTAAGCTAAACTAAACTAACTTAGCTTAACTTTTGGTCTATATTCTGTTTTTGTTCCCAAAACTGACCAAGATTTTTCTTCTCTACAATGAATACCCACAAGGCGATAGACTAATGAAGTGAAAATTATTGTTAACCTCTCCACTTATTTTGATAGTGATGATGATTAAAGGTTTTAAGCCTTCGGCATTAACAGATAGAATCCAGGGGTTTTTGATCAGTTTCTTGTCATTCATTGATTAATAAAGTTTTTTAAACTTACGACATTGGTTTCTTGGAATGCAAACTTCGTTGGCATCCCTCGCGTAACCATCAATGCATCGGCATCCCGATACGCAAAGTTCGTCTCCCGGTTTGGGTGGCAATGCACACTTTATTAGTGTAAGATCGACGTCGCATCGTCTGAGAGGGCATGGTGTATCGCAAGGGTCGTACTGTTCGTTGGCAGGACAATAACCAGCTGCAAGAAATATTTCTTAACTTTGTTACAATAAACACACAACAACAACAGTGGGACGTCCACCCACAAGGTCGACCGGCAACATCAATTATAAAGGTAGTAGGAAGGCGCTGGACGCATGCCGCTACCAATCGAACAATATGAAAATCATTGGGGGAGGCCTATGTTCAGCAGTGGACGTTCTATGGCTGAAATGATGATAATGATGACAAAGTTTTTTTACGCTACTTACGACACTGCTCCCTTGGAACACAAACTCCGTTCTTATCCCTCGCATAACCGTCAATGCATCGGCACCCTACTACGCAGTCCTTGTCTCCCGGATTGGGTGGTGCTGCACACCTTATGAGTCTAGGGTCAACGTCGCATTGTCTGAGAGGGCATGGTGTATCGCAAGAGTCGAACTGTTCGTTGGCAGGACAATAACCAGCTGCAAGAAATATAGCTTTATTATTTTCCCTTAAACCTAACAGCTTTCCACCTTTGTTTCAATATACAAAGATTTTTTACGCTACTTACGACACTGTTCCCTTGGAACGCAAACTCCTTTCTTATCCCTCGCGTAACCATCAATGCATCGGCACCCCACTACGCAATCTTTGTCTCCCAGTTTGGGTGATGCTGCACACTTTATGACTCTAGGATCGACGTCGCATTTTCTGAGAGGGCATGGTGTGTCGCAAGGGTCATACTGTTCGTTGGCAGGACAAACAGCTGCAAGAAATAAGATGAAGAAATTACATTTCGTTATATTGATGGGAAACAGTCTCTCAGTAATATAAAGCCCGATTTCTACTAAAGCCGGAGCGGAGCAGAGAAGTGTGTCCAATCCACAGTTCACAGAAACTAAAGGGAGATGAGACAAGGGGGCGGAGCCGGTGTCGCAGCAATATGCCCAAAAACAGAACACATTGCTCGTGAAAGCAATGATGACAGCAGCAACGTCATAACGTAAACAGCTTACATTGCTTGCGTAGTATGAAATATTATTCGAACGTCGAGTAGGTACTGATAACGCAGTGGATAATGAGCACATATTTTGATTTCTTTGTGTGTGTAAATTTCTAATGCGACACCAAGAGTAGGCGCACACCGTTGATTTTTAGTTGGCCGATAGTTGTGCCCGATTTCAAATTGTATGAAGAATCGGCCAAATCGAATCGGCGTAGTGTGCGCACTCCCATACATGCCCAATGCCCATACTGATCAACAGCCCGACTAAACTATCGACCGACGAAAAATCAACGGTGTGCGCCTACTCTAAGGCTGAGTTGCACCACCAAACTTTGACCGTAACTATAACGATAACCGGTGCTGCCGCCGCCGCTGTCAAATAAATTTGAAATTCGCTATAGAAAAAAATTTGAAATTCTCCGCTCCGCCTTGGTGGAAGTCGGGCATTAGTCTCGATAGCTCATTGGTAATAGCAGTTAGCCCTGTAAATGAAAGGTATAAGGACACCACCTATGGTCAATTATCAAGCGCGCAAAAATATTTTATTAGTAATTATTATTCATCATAACATCAGCACCACCCATAGAGCAAAAAAAACTTGAATATTAACTATTTCTAGAATTGTGTAATAATTATTAGATTCTGGTTTTTTGGTTCAAGGCAAAGCGCCGTAATTGCGAATACGACCTTTATGACAGGGGGAATCCCCCGGCCCGTTACGTAGCATCATACCAGAATCAAACAACTTTTTTAGCATTATCTATAAGGGAAAACACAGAATGCTTAGGCTGTTAACTCATCGGGATAAAATCTGCGGGGAAATTTTCTAATATGAATAATTGAGTTTCTAATATGAGCATCATTGATTATGTTATGACATTCGTAAATTAAGAAGAAAATGGAGTGGAGTTGATAGTAATTTTTGGAAGGTGATCTTCAAGGATTTAAGTTGTTAACAGCAGTGTAGGTATCAAGATAATACTCGAACAGTATTTTATTTCTTTTGTTTACCTTAGTTCAAGGTTAGGCACATTTTCCAAATGATAAATGAATTGTTTTTGCGATTTGTTGGGCAACAACTATTTAATTTCCTTTATCAAATTGTTATTCGTTTCCTTAAAAGATAATAAAAAAGTTTTTCTTTTATTTAATTAACGGTAGGTATTTAAGTAACGAAATACCGAATTAACCAAAAATTTACTATTATTTCAATTCCTTCACAATAAACATACCTACTAATTCCGCGCTGTAGGGACTTAGAAGCATTAGTTCAGGAAAGTTCTGCCACCAGTTCCACCATTCCGTTAAAACCCACATCAAGGCAAGTCGAGATAGATAGACAGTAACAAGAGAGAGACAGGGTATTAATCAGCTTGTGTTACAGCTATCAATATTCAACGCATTGTAATCCTTACGACACTTGTCCCAAGGTACGCAATTTCCTTTGTCGTCCCTGAAGAACTGAGACTTGCACCGACAGGCTGGTGGTGGGCAGTTAGGGTCTCCAGGGACGGGGGCTGGTGCACAGTCGATCAGGGTGTCATCAATGCCGCACGTTTTAAATGGACAGGGTGGCGGGCAAATTTCCAGCTGCTCGTTTTTCTTAGTACATTTTGGACGGGCTAAAATTATTTGTTCAGTAAGTATTGCTGAAGGTGATCGCTCATTGAAGTGATCACGCGAATTCGTACCTATAGTTTGATAAAGACTCAGTCTAAGTAGCAATTGCTCAATAGTGGCATGCTTTCGTTCGTGCTATTAATGAGCATGTGTAACTGACCTTTATGCTCAAATTCTTTGCCAACATTTACTTACACTAGGTACATGCAAATGATCTATAATAAAGTGAAGCTTCCACCTTCGGCCTTATCGTCACTTACCATCAGGTGAGATACAGGCCAAGAGCTTCCTCGTTGAGGATTAAAAAAAAATATATTCTTGAGCAAAGACGACAAGCAAGCAATGCTCGTTTACTAAGTACCTACATTATCAATATAAAAAACTGTTAATCATGGCAATGACTTTAATTAGTTGATACTTACGAGTGCCGCATTTTGGTTTTACTAATGATGATGATTCGGAGTTTAATGATGATTCACTTTCTTCGACGTCAGAGCTTTCAACGACATCTACAGCATCTATGAATATAAACATTTGAATATTATAAACAGTAATAAAAATGATTATAGATAAACAGAACATCGTGGGACACGTTTAGCTATTAAATGTTATAGTAATCACGATTATAAATACAACACGACACGAAAATAACAAACGAATAAAATATTTATATAAAAACATAAAAAGGAAAAAATATGAGACCGTGTAGATTTAAAATTTGAAAGGAATGAAAGATAAACGTACCTTGAGCCACAGATATTTGAATTAACACGCTGGCAGCGACCAGCAGCACAAAATACTTCAACATGTTCGGCCGAGCGAGAACACCGTCTACAGTGATATCAAGATATTTACCTCTTTTATACAGCAACGTGCACTTGTTGAAACAACTCACAATATTTAAATGGGTGTAGCCGTAAACTAATAAACGCATTGTTAATACCGTCTTTTGTTTAAAAAATGTTTTTTAATTTTTTTCGTTTCGCAACTGTTTTCTAAGGGCAATTAGGTAAATTTATGTTTGTGTAGGTATAATTATCGTAATAAAAGTCTTTAATCTAAATAACTAAAGAAGAACCGCAGTTTTGCCTATTATATTTTCTACTACCAATAAGATCCACCAGGATACAGTACGAAGTAAATCATGACCTTGTGGATCATACTGTCCATCTTCTACCCTCAAACCTAATCCTAATGAAATTCATTCATAATTCATCCCCACTCCACTGTTTTTTTGACTTGACTTGGCTAATTTCCGCGCAGTGTAAACGCAGCATAAATTAAACCTAGAAATAAATGAATCAAACGTAATATAATATGGCAAAAGCAGATAAAAATTTCCTCCTAACCTAATAAAAGTTGTCAAAATAAGCAACGGAATAAACTTTTAGTCATATTTTTTAATGATTGTTTCCAAATAAATAGGTTAGTCCACTATCACTTCACAACACATACAGTTATCATAAGATTTATTACCATTATTAACGCCGTTGGTTTCTTAATAAAATAAAATAAAAATAAATAAATACAGCGATTCCAAGAAGTTATTGTTTTTAATTTTAATGTTTGCAGCTAGAGTTGAATTATTTGCTTCAATATCATTTTATTTTGCATTAAGTAAATACTAAATAGGTATTCAAATATTATATCGGAAGCCACCTGTTTGTAACAGATGCATTAATTCTACGAATGTGATGATTTATTGAAGGTAGTCAATACCTTATCTATGAATATTCTTCCATATATTTATTTCATAGAAAATTTAATAAGTATTTATTTCCACTGTGTTATAGCGATTTTAGGAACTTTATATTATTATTATTGAAAAAATATTTACGAGTCACTATACATAAAATAATAATAAAGAGAAATTAATATTTTTGATTGTTTGTGTTAAAATAAGCTTCGAAACCATTGGAGCAATTTGAAAATTTCTTTCACCATTAAAATCTTAAATTACTTCTGATAAATATAGACAGTACGAATTAGCTAGCCTTACATAATTTTAGAACGTAGGTAATCACTAATCTTTGTTGAGAAAGTTAAAGTTTGAAAATATAAATAACTTGAAAAATTCGAACTGCCTATGGTGGGAATCGAACCCACGACCTTTAGCTTGCCGGGCGACTGCTCTTCCATCTGATCTGAAGATGCAACTTTTAACGCTAAAAATTTATTAAGGCTTGGTATTTCTGCTAAAGTAGGTATTTCGCGCTGTCAAAATCTGCGCGCGCAATACTTCGCCGAAGACAGCGCGCCAAAGAGCTCTCGCGGCTACACAGTATAGAAATACGCAGTTTAGAAATACGCAGTTTAGAAATACGCAGTTGGTTAGGTTAGGTTGACTTCCTTCCGTTCAAGCGTCACACTCACAGCACTTTTTAATACAAATCATATCCAAGTGATACAAATTAAAACAACTTTCAAAATTTTTGGGAATATATTTTAGAATCGAATAAATATAGAATATAACTGCCAAAGTAAACACGGTTCAAAGAGGCGTGGCGTCACCCGACCTTCCGGAAGTTCCGCGCTGGCTAAAAGAATTTCAAGATTACGTCACCCGACCTATCGGTAGATCCTCGGGAGCTTGAGCGATAGGAAAAACATTTTATGATCAGTTACTCGTAGTAGCGATTATTTAGAGCTTGGGTTTTTAATAGTGAACATTTAGAAAAACGTATAACTTGACTTAAATATGTTAAAAAATTAGTTAGAAAAAAAAAAATGGTTAAATATGTTAAAAAAATAGTTTTAATTTAATATGACATTTGTCGATATGTCCCAACACTAACATTTTTGTAACTCGAGATAACCTTGTAGAGACGTCGTTAATACTCTAGCTTGATTTTTATAATTTCGAATTACTACTTATTGGTGTAATTTAACGCTGCATATACACGAAATTAACATTTTTATTGGAAGCACTGTCGTCGAAAATATTGTTTGTAGGTCAGACGTGAATTATTTCTTGTCCGCCAATATTTAGCTCTCATTGATCGCTACTACAAAGTTATGTCGTTACTTTTGATGGCAGCTGTCATTCTAATCAAGCTATATTGGATAGACTTTAGTGTTAAATTTGACTTATTACTTTTTAATCAATAAACTTAAATGATAAAAATTCAATAAAAATAAAGAAAAGATACCAATTGAAATAATTATAAAATTATTTGTTTTCACCCGGTGTAAACACCCACGGGTGGAATGAAACGGGTTTTTATTGGGTTTTTACCCTCATGTGGGTTTTTACCCGGGTGGAAACCCATCTCTAGCCACTACACCAAACGGCCGATAATACAAACCTAGCATTTAAAGTCTCGCATAATGTATTAACACAGATAATATAATACTAGTTATTAATAATGCACGTTGAACTTTCTTCTCTCACTCTCTCTCATTTTAAATGAATTTATGATTACACTAATAATTGTTATTTAATTTGAAATCTACCTAATCAATTTAATTTCAAAAACCACTTACAATAGTGTTAAAAATCTAGATTTATTATAGATTCAGTAAAATAATAATATTTTATGTAATAATATCGAATAAATGCAATTTTAAATATAATTCCATATTTTACTAAATCAATATCAACTAAACACACTTACAAGTGTAAGTGGTGTAGTAGAAACTAATCGAGTATAGTTTGGATATGACTTTTTTTAGTAAGCTCTTCCAAACTATACACGATCAGCACCCCGATTACGGTAACTTTTAACGTCTACAATCCAGACGCGTTTCTGATTCTGCAATACGATTGGTCAAAACAGCTGACGTACGCTGTTGAACGACCAATCGTATCGCAGAATCGAGAAGCGTGTCTGGATTGTTGACGTTATAAGTTACCGTAATCGGGGCTCAGTACGCAAAATTCGTGTATAGTTTGGAGTCACAGATTTACAAACGGGCACTACAAAATATACACGAGCAGTTTCCTATGGGTGCGTTCTGGCCATGTATAGAACGGAAAGACGCGGCAACGCTGGTTATGGGGCTCCTCTACTTATCTTTTTATTAACTTAAACCACTTCAACTTGCATTTCGTAGAGTCAGTTAAGTAGGTAAGTAGTAGGTATTTCTTTTTGAGGGAAGTTGACTTTTCCTATTGGCTCCGTGCGCGATTACAGCGCCAACTAGCGTCCACAACTTTGTGGGCTCTGTCACATTGACATTTAGGTCGTATATTTGTGAAAAAATATCGAAATGAAAAAATAACAAATATTTTCAACTAATAAATTGTTGTGATGTATACCACGATTTGGGTGGAAAAAAGGTTTTGAAATCATTTTGGTCATTCAAATCAAATGAGGTAAGTCCAAAAAGTGTGTTTAATTTTGATTGTGTCAGGGTTTGTTTACTTCATTTATAGTTGTAGTTTTACAGTAAAACAAAAAGAAAAAGCTACTTTAACGGTTTCATTATATAACAGTAAATATATTTAAATGTTTCTGTATCGCTAGTAATAAATTAAATATCGTTTTCAGATCGAAATGAGTATCGTTTTGAAGACCGGGTTTGTGAGAGTTACAATATCAAATTCCAACCACAAACCGTATTTAAAGGAAAGTTGTTGGTATTGGCTGGACAAGTCCGAGATGTAGAAGAATTAAGAACAAAACAAGGGCAGAGTTCAATAATTCACGCTCTCATCATAAGGCAAACATCTGTGCACAACAACTACTGTGACTCATTTTTGTACTACCACGTTGTATAGTTTAGTTATTTCCAAATTGTAAACGGCTATTAAAACAGCCCTATCGAAATACAGTCCACTCTTTTATTTAAGTTCCCAGTAGGACCCTTTTCATGCGATTAATTAATGATATTAAAATGTATTATGTAGAATCGCTTTGCCATTGACAGATACATCTGATGACAGAGCTAACATTATTTCTACTTTTGACCACCATGAGCGCTGCGATAGATTATGTCCCCCCCACCTAGTACTTCGCACCCAGCGAATAATCTCGGCATAGTATCAAATGTATTTGGTCGCCGTACAAATCACCGCTTTACGACACGAACGCACGTAAACGTCACGGCGGGAAAAATGACACAGGTCCTGCCTTGACGGGCGCTCGCGGCCTACTAATCGATGTCGGCCTGCGCATTGTAATTTATACTGATATTCCCATCAATATTTTGACAAAGTGGTTACTAATATTTAAACAATAACTGTAGAAATTAATTCTACAATGAATATTCTTTATTTTGGGATACTTTTATTGCAGTTTATGCTGTGTTTTTAAACCAAAAACCACGATCAAAATGTGACGTTAATCTTCAAATTTGCCAAATTATTTTTAGATTTTACTCAATAATGGTAATGAAATTCAAGAATCTATTTCATTAATGAACTACAAAAATATATGTCCGATGATTACTATATATTTTTAAGCTTATTATATGAGCATAAATAATAGATACAGGACTTTGAAAATGAGTCTGCGGCAATTTTTTCGTAAAATGGTTGTGGGAGATGGGGCACTGTGAATTGAGCAAAAGAGTTTTAGTAAATCCGTTTCATTAATGATCAACAACAAGGATTGACCTATCTTTCGCAGTTATTAAATAATCTCTGGGTGTTGCTTAAGATAGTAATTCATGCTTCCAAAATCTTAGAAATTCGCACGAAAATGTAAAATGGCTCTTAAGTACTCAATAATTATGACCAAGCTGCAGCAACACAATTAAAATGACGTGTTCATAATTTTCTCTCAGAGAAAGTACCTAAGGTAAAGTCCCAATTTTCTGATTCGTGCGTATATTTTTAGGTTGATTTGTTAATAAACAAATTACCTAGTCCATAGGTAGATAAACAGTTTCGACTTTGGGCAATGACCTTT